CGATGACTAACTCGCCAACGGCTCCCACAGGGACCAACTTATCATGGTCGTAGGGGTCAACCAGCCAAATTGCTCTTCCGATCCTATGGCCCACATTCTTTCGGTCCGAATCAACCGTTGGGTTCTTCCTCACACAGCAGAGACTAACACTCTCTGCTTGGCCATAGGCAAACATAAGGTTCGCTTTGCCTTCCCACGTACTGAGGCTAGCGCGAGACATGGGCTCACTAGTGAGGAGCAAGGTCTTGAGGCCAGGTGTCATGTCTGGATCGAGCAGTGCAGCCACTGAAGGCGTGAGGTTGGCCCAGTTGACCTTATATTCGGTTATAAACGTCTCGAGGTGATTTAGCCGTTGTGATTCAGACGGTACGCAAACACAACCTCCAAACATAAGGGTAAGCAGCACATCCCGGTGGGCTATAAGAAATGCGAAGCTCGAAAATTGGAGGACCCGGGATTGTCCATCTAAACGAAGGGGTTCTCTTAGCAGCGTACCCCAGCTCACAAACGCCGCATGCTCCACTACAATTCCCTTTGGATTTCCGGTCGATCCCGATGAGAACACAACGTAGAGTGCATTATGAGGGCTGCTAGAGGACTTGTCTTTCCTTTCGTCCTGCCCGTTGTGGTGGTCATCAAAGTATTCGGAACCCTCTTTGACAACCACAACCCGATCCGATAGCGTACTTGCCGTATGGAGTAAATCTGGGCTAGCCAACAGAAGATCGATTTGAAGTTGGGCGCAAATTTGCTTCATGCGAGGAGCGGGATAATATGGCTCAATAACAACATATGCCGCTCCAGCCTTGATAACAGCAAGGAGAGAAACAACAAGCCATTTTGACTTTTCAAAACATAAAGCAACAAAGGTCTCGGGAATGACCCCCAGTGTCTGTAAATGTGCTGCGAGCTTGGACGAGAGATGGTCCAATTCTTGGTAGGTAAATTGGCCATCCCAGGCATCAACAGCCGGATTGTCCGGAGTCTCTGTAGCTCGCTTGGATATCAAGTCATGGACACACTTCTCCTCCCATGTCACTTCAAAATTATTCCATCTTTGAAGCATCGACAGGTCCGTCTCATCACACCAATCGAGATCGCCCATGGCCATCCATGGTTGATCTATCAGCGCAGTGATAACCTGGTTAATTTTGGCAGCCATACTCTTTGCTTGGAGGCTACCGAGCTTTGATGTCAAGTATCCTAGGCTTACCATCATTCCATTAACCTCCAAAATAATTCTAACCTGCACTTGTGTAAGATAAGCTCACAACCTTCGCCCATTGGCTGCCGCAGAACATCCAGTGGTACCTACATCGGCCATAGTATGTTCCCGTAACACTCGAGACGCTCTCCCAGGACCGTTGTTGATCATTAAGACGGTGTCACAACCCTCCAAGGCTAAACCTTGACCAGCGTCCTGTAGCTGGGTACCATTCTGGTAGGATCTGTCGCTTAAAGTCTTCTTCAGGAGGTCTAAGATAGGGGTACTCCTGTCAATCTCCATTCGATGGACCCATCCTGCTACAGGCGATTCATTACTGGCATTCGTGCGACGAATACAATGGAAACTGACGTCGCTTGCGCCAGTGAAGATTCCTAGCACTAGGCTCCAAGTGAACCTCAGTATCTCATCCATTTCGACCTCATGGCTGTCGCAAAACTCGCCTAGTGGCGGAATACCGATGGGAATCCAGCTTAGTTCGCCGTCAAGGCCAGTATTGTTTGTCTTCAGCATGCATATGGACCGGCTACCCAGACCTTCTGCGGCAGCCATGACAAAATACGTGAACAGGCGTAATGTCCGTTTTTGCCTTGGTTTGTTTGTTCGGAAATACACATTTAACAAGCAAAGAAAACGCAATAGGTACCCGACAAGAGAGTACCGAGCCTTAGTTCGAACGTCTGGTCTGATGGCTTGGCTTGGTCTACACTCAGTTATAGACGCATTACACTAAAAAGGCCAGGAAATGGCTACATTTGGCGTTTGTAATCCCTGCCTCAATGTCTGTTTCTAATGGTCATCTCGTCATAAAGCTCACTCTATCTCATTATGCGAGATGACAAACCAACGCCGTTCTCGACGTGGCGTATGGTGGACACGAATGATCTGCAAGATATTTCCGAGATGGTGACTGCAACGCGGCGTAAGACTTATAAGCGTATAACTGATCAGAACAACACTCCCAACTTTGCTTAGTCGCGTATGTCAAGTCCTGCACAAAGCGGGGTACGTGCATACAGATAGTCCGCACTTCCATTGTCCATCTCGTCGTTGCAAGCACAGACCGTCCATGGCTGCAGTGTGCGGCAGGGAAGGGGAACCGATGTTTTTAGTCCAGCCAGCCACGGAGCAATTCTAGCGCGGGGATCGAGTCACATCGGACAGTGAATATTTACGCAGTTCAGAACTGCAACTAGGTAGGTGAAAGAATGACACGTCATCGCTGAGGGACTCCATCACGGTCTATCTGGTGGAGACTGAGCAATTTTACAGTTCAGGGCTGCCTACGACCCCCGCTTCCAATCCTGATGCAGAATATATCGCCCAATGCATGTATGCATGTCGTAAACCATTGGCTCTGCGTGAAGCATTGATGCATGGCAAAGGCCCGCGGGGGACGATTCCTATCTGAATACCACCAAAGTCACTTGGGACCATTTGCATTGGCCTGGCTGACTCGGCTAGCACGATTACCCCCGGTGTTAGGTTTGTTTCACTAACAGCTCGGGAGCTCAAGTGATTAACCGCTCATAACAGGCTACTTCATGAAATAACGAGCCTGTGCCTACTTGAGCGTGCGGGGGAGCTACTCTAGGAAAAAGAGAAGGAAGAAAGAAACACAGCTATTCTGCCAAATGTTTCTATACCGAAGACTGCTCACAATGCTTGCCACCATTATGCCTCCGTCCGAACACCATACCACCAGCAGGGTGAACAAAACTGTAAGCTCTGGAGTATCATCGATTGTTTCTTTCTTTGCAGTTTGCCAACTCTCTAACCCATGGACTAGGCAGGTCCAACGCCTCATGATATGGAGGAACAGAAATTGAGCTTTGATGCTAGAGTCAACTCGATCTCCCAACCTGAGCATCCGGAACTGATACACTTGGAGCTTCGAGTACAGCACAAGGTGTTGCAGGCGGTGATTCGTCGCAGTGCTGTCGTAAAGGCAATCTGGGACACGGCCCAAAAGGTGACCACCGAATCCATCGTGAGGGTCACAGGCCACGTCCTTCAACCAGCCAGTGATAAAAGTGAAGTCGATGGCAATACGGTCGATACAACCATCCATGTGTCGGACCTGGATGTCATCGCCTGGGCATCTCCAGACCTGCCCTCATCCTCCTGCCACAGCAAGACAATGCTGTCCCACGTTGGCATTGAGGAACGACTCACTAATCGCATCCTCGACGTGCGCTTCGCCGCGTCGGGGGCACTCTTCAAGCTCCATTCAGGTATGTGCCAACTCGTTGTCGAGTTCCTTTGCTCCCAAGGGTTCCATTGGATCCATACCCCGCGCATTATAACTGCCACTGTCCCGGGCGACAACGAGTACTTTCATCTGCCATATTTTGGTAAGGATGCATGGCTGGCCCAGAGTTCGCAGCACCACAAGCAGATGGCTCTTTCTATGGACATGCAGCGCGTGTTTGAGATTGGACCGGTATTCCGGGCCGAAGTCAAGTCTAGCACATCTATGAGGCATCTGACCGAGGTATGTCCAGCCATCACCGCTGACAGGTGCGCTGGTACTCAGAAATTGTTGCTAACGCACCTGATACGCAGTTCACCGTCCTGGATATTGCCATGGCTTTCGAGGACGACTACCAGGAGGTGGTCGACTTGATTGAATCCATGCTGGTGTTCGTCTTCAAGGAACTTCAGGGACGCAAACAGTACAGGCAGCTGATTGCGCTGGTTCAAGAGATGTATCCCGGGGCCCGAGCGTTCCGAGTGGGCTTGGACGAGCATGGCAAGGTCCCGCGCATCACCTTTTTGGAGGCCAAGCGCATCCTGCGGGAGGAGATTGGCCTCGACTCAGATGACAGCAAGAACTTTACGTGAGTCAACTTCCGCGGATGCTAATCTCAATCCACATCGGTTTTCGTCCCCGTCTCCACGTCAAGTTCTCGGGCACTAATGAGTGAATGGTCTCACAGCGACCAAGAAGAAGCGGCTCTTGGCCGACACTTCCGCGAGGTTCGTCCTACAAGTACAGACGTCTTCACCATCACTCAATACCCGGCATCCCTGCGCCAGTTTAACTCACAAGCCCACCCGGACTCTCCAGGGCTTTCCAATACATGGGACATCATTGTCGGTGGACGGGAGATCTGTTCGGGGAGCCAGCGCATCCACTCATACCAGGAGCTGTGCGCAGCCATGAGGGCGGGGGTCTGTGGCCCGCCGCTGGACCCCGAGGCCGAGCAGTGGCAACCCTATCTGGCTGCATTCAAGGCTGGCATGCCCCCACACGGCGGCTGCGGACTGGGGATTAATAGGCTACTACAGAGTTTCCTCGGGCTGGATGATGTGCGTGAGACTACGTTGTTTCCGAGAGATGTAAATAGGTTGAGGCCTTAGGAAATCGCATGGTGGCCTGGTGGCTCTACGAGAGAGCTATACAACTGTATCACTAACTGCTTTACCCAAGCTCGGGTGGAAAATTTCCATTACGTGGATGACATGTCTTGGCTGGGCTTAGGGCAGTCACCTTCTGGACATTTTATTTTTTTCATGATTTACATATAGTGTCTCGGGCCACGAATGTTTCGAATGATCAACATCGGTATGTTTGTATTATCCATACCTTCCGACCCATGTAACATTACTTAATTGGCTACACAATCAATTAACCAATCATATCGCGTAACTGTGAGCGGCAGATACAGGCGGGGTAATCTTACAGATCGCCCCACTTCAATATATTCGTGCCCAGAGACAGTTATGTAGCTATAATTCTTGAGTTGGGTGTCGTTCTGGACTCTCATTTGTTCATTTTTCCACTGTAGGTGGAGGAAAAGTACTGTCGCGTCAATTAGGCAATAGAATAAAACTAACAATCATAATAATCAGTAGATGTCGGCTGGTTTTGCTCTGCTTCGTGCCTCTACCCTTGTTTGCTCTCCCCTCATTGCCCCCTCTCGCCATCAATCAATCACCTATCGCCAAGCCACGTCTGCAGAAACTAAGCAACTTAATAATAAACCTAACCTAATCCTTCTGCGGCCGAAGAAGATAGACCATTCCGTGCCTCGCCTTCTTAGGTCCGGGCGGCGTCACGGCACGGTGCACCGTCGAACGCAGACGACCACCCGATTTAGCCTCCAGCTCATCTGCAATATTGACGAGAACGGCACCATCGACGACAGGAACCGCCTGCCAGGCCTCGGTTCGCTTTCCCTCTGCGTCATACACTGGGATCTGTGCGCTCACCTCCTCATACCACATCAGCGTCATCAGACCGAAATCGGTATGCCACGGCTGGACCACCGCACCAGGTTCTTGCACGGGGGGCTTGAAGACTAGCTTGAGCGCAGTGTCGCTGGGAACCGTTGGATCATCGCTCAGCTCGGGAATGTTCACATTTATGGCGCCGCAGAGCTCCGCTAGGACTGTCTGAATGGCCCCGTGCAGGGATTGCAGGGTCCGTGTAATGCGCTCTTCGTGGGGTGTGAGGGAAGGAGGCAGGGTCCATTTGCCTAGTTGATACTCATCCCGGGCGATCTTTGGCGCGGTGCGAGTTAGCAAAATGGGAAAATCCTTGTTCGGTGAAAAGTACGTGTTGACCTACCTCGTAGTATTCGAAAGTCTTGGCTGCGTGATACCTGCATGGGCGTGAGGAGCAAGAAGTTAGGAAGTCGCTACGACATGTTGGGGGTGCATGCTGTTTTTTCTTACCCCCGTTCCATTCCTTCGCGAATGCTTTGCTTCTTTTCCTCACAATCCTGGGGCAGGTCGAAGAAAGCTTTGCCGGCCTGGAGGAGATTCGGTATGTCGTCGTAGACAGCCTTTATCCTTGAATCCCCGAGGTTAAGGTGGAACATGCCCACAGATTCGCAGGCTTGAACAAGCTTCCGGATCTCGTTACCATCTTTATTCATTAAGGCTTCGTAATCGACTACCGTGAGAGATGCTATCTTATTTTGGACAGTCATAGTGGTCTTTGAATAATGAAAGGTGGTCGAGCGTACAAGAGATGATGGCAGGTCAGCGAAGGTAAAAGCACGAGTATTCTTTCTTGGGCATACCCAGGGCTGAGGGGAAAACCATATTCCTTATAAACTACTGCAACAGATGATTCTCTCTTACGACTCTGATTCGTTCAGTGAAGCCGGTGGACAGTGGACCGTCAATTCTAAGTGAAGATGTACTGTATCTATCTGTTTACAGAAGCTAACGCAAATGCACTTACTCCAACATTACCCAAGTATAGCACTGGATCGTGCATAACTCATCTACCTGAGAGGAGAGAGAGGGGAAAGGTGACGCAATGTATGCAATGGCTCATCACCAAGATGCATCAGTAGGCAACACCACCATGGACTCCCAAGACACTAATCATATCCCAGATCTACATGGTCCAGGTCCTCCATCAGCCAGCCATACGAGCAGATAGACCTGGCCTTGCATAACCTCTGGCTCTTCTACCCACCACTTCAACAGCCAATCCTGTCACAGCTTATATGTCTCGTTTTATGCGTCAAACTCAAAAGGACCTTCACACACTAAGACTAACCCGTCTATGCCCGAAACCAAGCTTCCCTCGTTCCCCCGTCGTGACGTTACTGTGGTCCCTTCACATTGTCTCTCTCTCAGTGATGTGTGTCGCAACATTCGGAATGAATCTACCTGGGTATTTCGTTGCTTTACAGCACCATTTCCTTCCTCTTCTAGCGGTCTTCTTACTGCCTGCCGGAATTTACTATCTGAGCTTGCGCAAGAAAGAAAGCCCCCTGGCGCCTGTTTGGAATACACCGGTGGATGAGTCCAAGTATGGGAAGAAAGCAAAGTCAAAGGTCACACACCTCAAACCCACAGAATGGTATCGAAACATGTTCTTTCAGCTTCAGAATCTGGAAGATCACCCCGAAGCGCTAGAACCAGCCCGAGAGGAACTCTTAGCCATGTTCTCCCACGGACTTTCAATTGCGCTCCGGCAGCCCAAGTGTAGTAGTAGCACCAACATCCTCAGGGTCGAGGATTACAGTCTCGAGTCCTTCTCCAGCTTCCTCGAGGACGTACATGAAAAGACTCAGTCGGAATGGGCGTGGTATCTGGAGCGACGAAAGCAGGGCCATGGTCCTGAGTTGTTCGCAACGGCTGAAGCGGCCAAGGCCTGGCTGGTCCAGCAGGCTCCCATCAAGTTTGTAGACGGCGCATGGCTTGGACACGTTCACAAAATCACCACTCCATTTGCCCTCCGCGGCATCACTAGACCGGTCTGGCAGGTTTTGTCGGAAGAGCTCGGCGATGGCGACCTATGCAAACATCACGTCAATCTCTACCGCCAGCTTCTGGACGATATTGGATGTTCCCTCCCCCATGGCCACAGTGCCGATTTCATTCATCTCCGCGAGTGGGATTCCGTCGAGAGCCGTGGCACCTGGGAAGCCGCCGTGGGCCAGCTCGTCATCTCGCTCTTCCCCAATGAGTTTCTCCCTGAAATCCTCGGGTTTAATATGCACTTTGAGACAGTTACCCTCGAGACGATGCAGGTGGCTCATGAGCTCAAGGGCATTGGCATTAACCCTTACTACTTTCTCATTCACATGACCATAGATAACGCGGATTCTGGCCACACGGCCATGGCCGCTCACACTGTTCGGCGATATCTGGAAGTGGTGAGAGCAACGGAGGGCATGTCGGCTATGCAGCAAGCCTGGAAACGTGTTCAGGTCGGATATATCTTGTCGCAGACTCTAGGGAATCACTCTTCACCAGGGACGGCCAGGTTGGGTCTGTCGAGTCCGGACGTGCTGCTGGGACCGCTGAGCACGCGAGTGATAAACATCTTTAGATCCAAGGCCTTGGTATCGCATCGCATCCATTCTCAAAGCAGGGTGCATATCGGACCCTATACCTTGTCTGAATGGCTCGACGCGAGCGTGTGGAAGCATTCCAATGGCTTGCATCAGCTGGATCTCTTGACTGCCCTGAGCCAAGCCAAGCCATGGGTGATTGCCGGGGAAAGCCGCAAGAGCACACTTTTACGGGAGCTGTCGTGGGGGGGGCGCATGTTTGGCGCGTTCACTGACAACGAGGTTACTACGATTCGCGGGTGGATCGATGCACTGAGGCCACGACAGGAACCCTTGTTATATTGGACGTTTACCCAGAGACAACCTGTGCCGTCTCAAGAAGCCGTCGCGGAGCTCCGAGATCCAGTTTGCCACCATCCATTCGTACTTCCCGATACTGAAGTCAAACCACTCCAGATGGTGGATTCGTGCATGACACCCACAACAATATGCCGGGGACTTGGCTTTGTCGGTGGAGGGAGGCCGTGGCCAGAACAGCCAACGTTAACCATATCCTCGATGGCTCGACTCCCTGACGTCATTGCCCTTTGGTTTGCGCACATCAGTCTTCTCGAGAACACAATCAACACGCCTTCCCGAACCGTATGCCCCCTCCATTCCAGTATCCTGCGCCTCCTGCGCGCGCAAGCGGGATTTGGTATCGAATCCGACATCGTCGCAGGCATGGACGAGCTCAGGCGGGACTCCTGCACTAGCCTGGTTGACATTGGCCTAGAGCTGACCCAGCACCTTGACCGGGGTACGACCACTGTCAACCCGTTATCTTTGCACGATGTTTTCATGCTAGTGGCTAGGCACGGTCAGGGTGAGGAGAGTGCTAAATTGGCCCACGACATGCTGCGGTGGAGTGCGCGACCCACGGCGAATCTCGGCTTGCTCCTCGGCTTAGCGACGGCCTTCCTGGAGTTTAAACGTGCCATTTGCAGATCCCCGAACCTCTTGGGTTGGGAGAGCGGCCGCTTGTTGGAGGCGATTGTGGAAAGAGAGGCGGCGAGCCTCGAGGATTGTACTAGGCAGCTACAGAATACGGATGATAGGCGGTACAAAGATTTGCTGCGGGGGTATCACCTTGCCATGATCACTTTGCCAAACTGCATATAGCCTGAAAACGTCAATACACTTTCAACACCCTCAATCATATCCTCAGTCTCCAGTTACGTCTTGTAAGCAGATGGGTCCTGTGACATACATGCATTATACGTACATATGCACATACGACGGAGCAATTAGAGTTTCCAATAGAATAATGCAGATGCTACGTGGGGGTCATCCATGCATATTAAATAACAATTCTGCAACAGAGGATCTACTCCTTCGGGCGGGGTAGATAGTCTCCTAGCGAGGTAATGGTACGTTGGCAACAAGGTAGCGAGGTATTTAGTATTAAATAAGTTGTAGAGCGAATAAAAAAGAAACTGATTCTGACCTGTGTTCCGTTCTTCCATTGGACTTTCTTAAATAGCTTAGAATTCCCCCCCTTGCCAGTGAGTCTCCAAGATCCTCCAAAGGACTGAATAGTCAGATGGCGTCGTATTCGGGCAGCCCGGAACTCTAAAGTAGACCGAGATTATAGGGGTCCGGGCACTCTGCAGGATATACGAGCCGGTCCGTGCCAAATACAAGATACTGCGCTGTCATATATGCATACGCCATCTGCAGCTAAGGCGGGGTATGTGACAATTCTCATGTAGTAATGCAGATACTACACGGTCATATATGCACATCATATACCAAAGTGGATACTACGTGGTCATATACACATTATACATGCAGTGAAGGCGGGGTGCCGTGTATTTACAATATAAACCTTGCCGACAAAAGTTCCAAATAATGTCTCTAGATGAGAAGGAAAGGGAATTGGGCGAGTGCGTACGACAACGACGTGCTACGTGGTTATACATGCATCATACATATGCAGCCCATGCGGGGTACTTCCTGTTTATGACAATGGCCATCCAGGCCAATGATCCCAACAATATCTCTGGTTTAGAAGGAAAAGAGACGAACCACAGAGCAACGGCGCTCCTTGTGCTGATCATCATTATCAGCGAAGCGCTCACTTGTCGCTCCTCCCTGCCCGTGCGGGTGGTGTTCCAGCTATACAAAGCAAAGCAACGAGAAGAGAAGCAGGAGAACAGTAATAGAGATATAGGCAAAATTGATATCTAAAATACACACAATCCTTTGAACTATCTGTAGAGCCTAGGTATACGTATTTGGTTCAGTTGCTATGTATATAAATATGTAGATAGTTCCTAAATGTGGGGTCTCTATTTGTTTGAACCGATCTACGCCTCCGTCACGCTCCTTTCACATCATTGAACTCCTTGACCGAAAGGCCCACAACTGGGAAACAGCAGCAGTGAGAATGGCGCCAGATATAGAGACTGTAATTCTATCTCTATCACAGGGATCGAAAGAGACGGCTCCCTTGAGTCCCACGAGAGTCGGCCGCATACCAGAGGCACAGAGCTGCGACATGCCATCCGAGAAGGCGGCGGACAATGCGCAATGTTTTCCTAACCTGTCCTGGACAGATAGCAGCGAGTCCTCGAATGACTTTCGATCCGATATATTTACCAGGCCAACCTTGCCTATGCTAGAAGCCATTGTCAATACAACGCTTGGGGACTGCACCGCGGACGAAGACAAGACCACTGTTTCTTTCCAGGAATATGTTGCCGACCTGGTCGGCCACGAGGCAGCGCTTTTGGTCATGTCCGGGACCATGGGCAACCAGGTGGCCCTGAGGAGCATTCTGCGCACGCCGCCTCATGCAATCCTCGCTGACCATCGAGCACATATCGCCACATTGGAAGGAGGTGGCGCGGCAAGCATCTGCGGGGCGATGATCAAAGCCATTGTTCCATCCAATGGACATCATCTCACTGTACACGACATTCAAGAACAAAGCATCTTGAGGGAGACAGTCTTCGACTGTCCCACCAGAGTCATTAGTTTGGAGAACACGCTCTCAGGTACCATAATGCCGCTTTCCGACATACGAGCCATCTCCCTCTGGGCGCGCGCCCAGAACCCGCCCATTCACGTGCACCTCGACGGCGCTCGCCTCTGGGAAGCAGCGGCGGCTGGAGCCTGCACGCTGAGAGAGATTGGAGAATGCGTTGACAGCATCCAGCTATGCTTGACAAAGGCTCTTGGAGCGCCACTTGGTAGCGTGGTTACTGGCAGTGCGTCCTTTATCAAGAGAGCGAAATGGAGTCGCCACTTACTTGGCGGTGGCATTCGCTCCTCGGGTATCATTACCGCGCCGGCTAAGGTAGCCATCCGTGATGTCTTCTTTGGTGGGAAAATAAGTTTGGCGCAGGACAAGGCGAGACGTGCGGCAAGACTTTGGCAAGACCTGGGCGGGAAGCTTCAACGGCCGACGGAGACGAACATGGTATGGCTTGATCTTCCAGCGTCTCGTGTCGACCGCGATGAGTTCTATGCTTTGGGTCGCCAGTTGAATCTGAAAATATCAAATAGTCTGATGGTGGGACGGCTTGTTTTCCATTACCAAATCAGCGACGCTGCGTTTGCTAGACTCTGCGAGCTCTTCGAGTCTGTTCTCAATGGCCGGACGGTGCAGAGTGTTAACAGCGAGGAGAAGTAGGTATGCGTCCAGATACGAGGACAGAAGAACCAGAGACAATCGTCCAACGGGTAACCACAATGGCACGAATACAATTTCCAATAGAAATAGTAAAGAATAGCATGCATCCTTCTTTCCATCCTTTGCTGTTATATCGCGTCTACATCTCTTCAATATGGGTTGATGTACGGGCTGCAATGCATGTAGCTAAACCGCGATATATAGTCCTCTAGCTAGGCCCTCTGATTGGGCTCCTTCTAGCGGCCTAAGCGAAGTTCTGATTGATTGAAGTAAATAGCAACCCCCTCCTCTGTAAGCCCTCTTCTTCTTCCTTGCACCACCTCTATTATGCCGACATCCACTACATATGCGTGAACGCCTATTTCCACTTTCGGCGACCCTGGGAAACTTCACACCTTTTCAAAGTATAAACAATCCGCCATAAATCTACCTCGTGTTGACAACCATGCTTGTGTCTCAGAAACAGATCAACTTTCTTCGCGGATGGCCCACCCCAGGGCTGCTCCCCACAAAGCTTCTATCCTCTGCGTGCCAGCGCGTCCTTGCCAATCCAAACGAGTATACGGAGATGCAGGAGTATGGCTCTTGCCAGGGTCTGACACGTCTCAGAAAGGGTCTCGCCAATTGGGTTGGACGTCACTATGGGGTCAGCTCTGACCTAGAGCGTATATGTATTACTGGTGGTGCCAGTCAGAATTTGGTATGCATTCTGCAATGCTTCAGTGATGTCAATTACACGAGGGCCGTTTGGATCGTTGCACCGTGTTATCATCTTGCTTGTGGCATCTTTGAGGACTCTGGGTTCGCAGGCAGATTGTACGCTGTGCCTGAGGATGACGAGGGGATCGATCTACAAACCTTTGACCGCAGACTACAAGAATTCGAAAAACAAGACAAACAAAAGAGGAGCCAAAAGGTGATCTACCCCACCGGTATAAAGTCTCGATATGAGTGTTTGTGCTTTAGCTGAGCTGACAAGCCGATGCAGCCCTTTAAGCTCCCATCCGCAGATAGAAAGCTGTACAGACATCTGATCTATACCGTGCCAACATGCTCGAATCCTTCGGGCGTAACCATGTCTCTTGGGAGGAGAGAGGGTCTGGTCCAGCTGGCTCGAAAGTACGACGCCCTTGTTATTAGCGACGATGTTTACGATTTCCTTCAGTGGCCGTTGACCGAGCCAGTAACGCCTGACCGATCGGCGGCAATGAGGCTTCCCCGTCTTTGTGACATTGATCGTTCCATGGGGCCTTCTGACAACGACCCCCACGGCTTCGGCCATGCAGTCAGCAATGCCTCTTTTAGTAAGATTTCCGGGCCGAGTGTACGGACAGGCTGGGCAGAAGCATCGCCCATGTTCATCTCGCGCATTGCTCGCACCGCAGCCACAAGGTCCGGCGGCGCACCTAGTCAGCTCTGCGCGGCAATGCTAGCGGAAGTCGTCGAGAACGGTCAACTGCAAAGGTTTCTGGACGAGACGGTACGACCGACTCTGCAGCGACGCCATGGGCTCATGATGGACGCCGTCCAAAGACATCTTTCGCCTCTGGGAGTCAAAACCCGCGTTAGCAGCCTTAATGGCCAGGAAATATATGGTGGCTACTTTGTTTGGTTGGATATGGGCAGCGAATTTTCTACAAGATTCATCGCTGATGTGTTAAAGGCTGAAGAAAACATCGTCATTGGTCATGGACAGATGTTTGCTGTGTATGGAGACGAGAAAAGCGCCAGTTTTGATAGCAGTGCTCGCCTTTGTTTTGCTTGGGAAGCAGAGCAAGATATTGTAGACGGCATCCGGAGGATGGGCCAGTTGCTTTCGCGGATGCATAGCAACAGGGAGCATTATCTTCACCTGGCATCGATGTCCGGCAACATGGGTTAAACTCTTTATTTTTGCTAGCCAAATCATTAAGTTAAGCATTGGTAGGCTTTCCGAAGTGTCACCAAATCGCTTCAGCCTAGGGTGGCCAAATATTTTCCCATCATCTCAAATGATATGTTGCTTCCACCACAAACGACAATCACCACCATAGTATTCTCATTAAACCCAGGGATCAGCTCTGCCAATTTTCCATTGTAACACAAGGCAGGACAGACAGAACAAGCCAGTTCTACCAGATAATGCTCTTCGTCCGCAAACCGTCGACATGCTCGTATGGCCTCGGCGTCAGACAGAACAACTGTCCTGACGTGCTTCTCCAAGCCATACTCGAATGCTCTCTGTGCAACTCTCCTCGCTCCCAAACTGGTGGCTAAGCTCCCAATTCTCGACAAAGTGATGCGTTCCCTCTTCGCTACAGACTGTGCCAACGAGTCAACTCCATCCGCCTCTACAGTAATCACTTGCGTGCGGTCCTTCATCTGCAACTCCTCGATCGCCTGCATTAACCCGCAGAACAAACTCCCACCACCCACACTGCACACTACAGCATCAATGTTCGGTGCATGCTCTGCGGCCGTTTTTCCGTTGGTTGTTGTTGTTGTTGTTGTTGTTGTTGCTGTGTTCATGGAGTAATGGCTTATCGCTTCGCCCAGTTGCCTGACAATTTCGTGCATAATCCCAGCGTTGCCTTGCCAAATCTCCGGTGCATCAAACGGCGGGACATATATTCGTGCCTCGTCGGTAGTTCCGGGTCTCATCATGACTGTGTTTCTTAGATACTCATCCGCTTCAGGCCATGTGTTTCCATACTGGATGACCTCCACAGCTCCAGCCTGCTTTAACTTTGCGACCAAAAATGCTGACGTCGACAGAGGAGTGACGATAGTCGTTCGGCATTCGAATACATTTGCACCGTAAATGCACGCCAGCCCGGCATTGGCCCCTGAAGAGCTGTAGAAGTGGGCTTTCACGGATGGGTCATTTCGCTGTTGGCGAAGAGTGGTCAACTTGTCGACCATGTAGTGGCCAATTCCTCTCGATTTAAAGGACCCGGAGGGCTGCGTATTTTCTAATTTCAGAAATACATTACTAAATAAGAAAGAGAAGCGTGGTCAGTATTAGATCTGGTTGTCTACCCTACTTTTCATCATGATATGACAATTATTATAATAATAATAAAATAATAAAAACAAGAGACAAGTTAATATAGGATATGGGTTCCTCTTACCAGCCAGCAGCTTTGGACAAATTAGTCGATCTTACCAGGGGGGTTTCTATCCAAGGCTTTTTGATTTCTCTTGTCATGATGATGATGATCTTTGCAATGCTTGAGGTTTTGTTATTCGCAGATAGGAAGAGGCTATACAAGGTAAATAAGTTATTGACTGGACGCGAGAGAGAGAGAGAGAGAGAGAGAGAGAGAATGACTTTTTCCCCGATACTTGGCCAGTTGTCACTACACCCCGCACATCATGCAGGACACTGTCTATTTATTGTGCCGCTGATGGTGTGGCGCCCTTCATCACGCTGGAATGGCCAGAGAGACACACCTCCCCCTCCCGTGCTGCATTAGCCTTTCGCTTACGGGAATACGGTGCCTTGAGCCAGTATAATAATATCTATTAACACGTCGTCTGGCTCTACCCCGCTCAAGACCAAGTACCAAGTTGGGCAATGACTATCAGTCTCAGCTCAACAAAGGACCGCCAGTACAGTGAGTTAGAAGTAACACATTGACATGCAGATGCGTCCAGACTGGCAGGCAACTCTTTTGCTATCGAGCATACGTGGTTAGGTCGCCAGCCAGTAAGCACTACAGTGGGGCGACACAAAGTTTCGAGTCCAAATCCAGCGTGTGACGATGCGCACTTTTAGGTCTTGATGGGAGGGGTTTAGAGACGTGCTACCAAGAACGTTCAAGGATCGGGAGCGGTTGGAGCAACCCTCGGGCAGGTCACTATAGTGGTTCCTGCTCTTCCAGATTAAACAGCTGCCGACATAACCCTTGACATCACGGCACCGGGTGTAGTAGCGGTGCTGAACGAGCCCAAACATCTTTGTAAGTCCGGGGTGGGCAGTAGATGGCTGCCTCCAGATCTCGTCTAACAGGCGTACCGGATGGTCGCCAGCATCTCCTTACCATGGATATCGTACTGATGCTCTACAGGTGGCATGGCCTTGGAAAGTACGCGATAGGGTGCCGAATGCTGTCGACTAACTGTAAAGAACTCCAGCACGTGCACCATCTGCAGCATCAGTTTCTAGGGATGTTGGAAAATGTGGCTCAAAAAAGGAAAGCACTCGCAGTCGATCCAGGACCTGATGAGCATGCTGAGAATGGTCGGCTTCGTTCTAACTGGAGATAAGCACTCTCTTGTGGAGAAGTCTCGGTAATATAGCATCTCTCAGCCTCAAGTTCTTCGACGGTCATTTTATGGAGAGGCGCAATCCTTAAGGTGTTCTCTCCATCAAGCCGAATCTTGTTGTCACAGTGGCACGACGGGGGCATCGTATTCAAAGCATGCTTGGAGAAAACAGCCACTAAGTAGTGATACTGTTTTGGCAAGGTTGTCTTGATCGCTCCTTCGTCGAGGGTCTTGTTCTCCACCGGCGAAGTCTTTTCTTCAATCGCTTTTTTAATAACGCATAGGGTAGTGATCCATGTCTCCATCAGCTTGTTTCTAAGGTGTCGGTAGAAACGTTGATGCCGATCACAACAATCTCAATGGCGACAGGGATGAGACCTTAAGGGGGTGATTTCTGCGGCGGAGGTTTGCTCTGAGACTCAAGGTTCTGTTCTCTATATTTTCTTTTCTTCATCCGAGCCACGGCCTCGCAGCGATCGCTTCGGTAAGTACATAAGGGTTTCCCAAAAAGGGACTGAAGGCTCATGCGCAGGACCTCCCGCTGGACCCAGTCTATCTCGTCGGGCGGCATCCCGCTGATATGCTCGATGAACTCGCCTATGCTTTAGGACTCTCTCGGGAGTTAAGTAAGCAGGGCGGCCATGGTTAACTAACTAACCATCTTCTGTAGGTGTAGGTGACGGTGCTCGCAAGTCGAGTTATAACCCATGCTTGGCGCACCGCCAGAGTCTACGGAGTATCAGGGGAAAGCAACCGCATTCCAAGTGCTAAGAAGGGGAAATAAACAAGGCTAGATATGTACAAACAATACAGAACAATACAAACTAGCCACTTGAAGAATTGAGTCGTCACAATAATGTTATTTGGCTTTCGCCCCTTGGCTCGCAACTACGGGTATTCCGGAGCCTTGCATCATGACTTTGAAAGAACCATACACCTTCAAAAGACATCCGCATCCATTCCTCTCGGCGGTGAGAGCGTATCAGTCATCGATTTCCCAGAGTGAAAATTAGTTGACATGAGAGGGAAGTTCGGAAATACCGCCTTGGGAGGAAGAAGGAATGCCACCGTACCCACCAACATTGCATTGACGCATGGTGCCACAATCCTGCATTCTTGATCAGAAAAATCGTGGAATTTATTAATGCTAACTAACGCTAGCCCTTCTAGCCTTAACATTACCATAAGTACCCGTACTGGGGCTGCCCGTTCGCGGTTAGTGAGGCGCATTTCCAAGCCACCGGCACCTGTCATAGTCATGGCAAACTCAAGGAGCCAATATGATACGAAGCCCGATCGGGATGGCCTGGGGGGGCCGAGTAGCTCTGAGGATTCAATCCCCAGCGAGGCGATGCCCTTTCTGCAGCCACGCGATGCTGCTGCAACACGCGAGGTGCCGAGCTCGGTAGACAACAGGGCGGATGGGTCCTCTCTATTCCTAGCCGGCTTGTCAACCACGCGGTTCTGGGTGATATTCTCACAAATACTCGCGACACAATTCATCTGCTTCTTTGATACGACCATTATGGCATCTTCCCACCCAGTGATAACGTCATACTTTGGTACAGCCCACTCGGCATCCTGGCTTTCGACAGCTTTCATGGTAATGTCGACTGTCTCACAGCCTTTCCTTGGCCGTCTGTCAGACGGATTCGGTAGGAAGCCGCTTTTTCTCAGCACCCTGGCGGTTTTCTCAATAGCCACACTGTGGTGTGCGCTAGCTACGAGCATTGAAAGTCTCATTGCTGCAAGAGCAGTATGCGGAGTAGGTGCTGGAGGAACTTTGCTAATGGGGAGCATCATTATGAGTGACATGATACCCATCGAGTACGTATCCGGCCGACCAACACTGTGTTTTAATGTCCTAGTTGGTTCCATGGCCCCAAGAGACTAAGCTACGCTCTCTAGCTAACGGCTAACGCTAGAGCAGACGACGAGGCACCTACCTATCATACATCAACGTTGTAGTCGGCATCGGCTCCGGACTAGGGGCTACATTCGGTGGTGCCATTGCCGAGACCATAGGCTGGAGATGGGAATTTGGCGTGCAGGTTCCTCCGCTCCTAGTATGCTTAGGGATTACTTCAGTAGTTATCCCAGATAAGTTGGGCATACTTGGTGACAGGGAGTCTGTCAGCCAGGTCATTAGAGGCTTTGATGCACTTGGAGCGTCGTTGCTTACCATGGCTGTGTCAACGCTCACTCTTGGTTTGAACATCGGCGGCAATATCATTCCTTGTAAGTTAATTTTTTTTTCTTTTTCTTTTTTTTTTAATTTCCGAAACGATACTACGAATCTTCAAGACCAGTGACCTATGTCATAGCCTGCTCCTGTTGTCATAGAGTTCCATTAGACTAATTACTTCGCCTATCAAGGGTCTCACCCATTTGTGGTCACTTCTCTGGTGGTATTTACCACTACTTTTCCAGCCTTCCTCTTGACGGAGTCCCGCGTGGCAAAGCCCATCATGCCACTGAAATTTATCTTTTGCAGGCCGCGTGCTAACTTGATCCTGTCCAACTTCTTTGGTGCTATAATATCGAATGCCATCCTCTTCAACATGTAAGAATGATAGATTCCCTTTTTTTTTTCCGGGGGGGTTGTCCTTCCTTCTCTAATGAACTCTTCAGAATCTCTTGACGCTAACCACAGTTCTGTGAATACAGGCCGCTATACTTTCAAGCTGTGCTTTTAACCAGCGCCACGTCATCTGGCCTCCGGCTTATGCTCCCAGCTATCCTATCATCTGCGACAGGTGCTTTGACGGGGCTCTTAATCACCAAGACGCGCCGCCTACATTGGCCACTTGTGTGCGCCGCAGCACTGTATCTGTGTACTATCATATGTCTCATCTGCATTCAGCGCGGCTTGTCCGCTGCTATGTATCTACTCGCCTTAGTTCCATACTCTGTTGCGAATGGACTACAGTACACTACTACCGCTGTGGCGGTCCTCGCCACCTCATCGCGAGACGAGCAGGCCATAGTCATGAGCACTCTTACCATCTGGCGCAGCCTGGGCACAGTCTTAGGCGTCGCACTTAGCAGCGTCCTCGTTCAGAATGCACTCTTACGATGCCTCCATCTCTTTGTCCATGGGCCTCACAAAGACGAGGTCATTGCCCTGGCGCGGGCCTCAATCCAGGCCATTGCAAAACTGGACCAACCATATCGGCAACAGGTAGTGCAAAGCTACGAGGCTGCATTACGGGTAGGGTTCGGATCATGTCTCATTATCGCAGTTATTTCTGCGCTCCTGATTGTGCCTATTAAGTTACCACGGTTACCGTCGTCTGCGAAAAGCTAGATTGAATCTTTTCAATTCTTTCCAAGCGGCAATCCCTCGCTTCGCTCAACCGCTTGATACTTTTAATATACATTTTCGATTCTCTCCACAGTTTCCATGGACAATATCCGAGCCACAGTATACACAGTATTGTTCAGTTAAGTGGAAAAAACAATAACAAGGGTCAATATTACCATGTAACCAGGCACATTATACAATATAGCATTGAATTATATGTGAAGCATAGGCTTTAGAACATTTAAATTTATTTAAATAAAAGAAAGAAAGAATAAAAGAAAGAAACAGAAAAAGGCCAAGCTATACCGAGGAAACATATATATAAACTTGTAGAAGCATAGATTACACAAGTGGAGATGGTCTTCGAATGTAAGTCTATCAGTAAATCGGAAAAGAACCGATCAAGTGCCTTACGTATCTTTTAACGGATTTTTCAAGGAGAAAGGGTGATTAGTTAACTCTAGCTATAAGTTGTTACCTCAGTAGCTATGTGACAAAAGGGCCGCAACAGCCCTAGGTCAAACTGCCGCTTTCATATTGCTTGGTTAAGGGCGGCCCTCAACGCCTCTACTTCACCCTCACTGGCCAACTCCATCGACGATAGAGCAAGGGCAGCAGAATGAAATGCGGGAGCACGCGTCCTCTCCCATAACATTCTAATATTTGTTGCTCTAACACCTCCGCCTACAATGATCTGAGGCAACCGATTATAACCTTCCATACGTCTCTTTAACTGCACAAGTCGTTCATGTATCAGGCGGTCTAGTTGATCGACACATTCAATCGCCGTCCCACCGGATGGGCCACTCGTCAGGATAGAGGTAAACCCACACTCCACGATGTCGGCAAGGGCAAAATCCCAGTTCGATTCCGGTATCAGGTCAAACGCACGATGAAAGGTACATGGCCTGCCTTGTGCAAGCTCAACCAATTCTTTGTTTCTCGCCACATCAATCCGAGGAATGGCCTGCGCTGGTGCATCCAGAGTCAAAATACCAAATACAAAGCCATCTGCTCCTTTCTCCATGAGCGATTGCATTGTACGCTTCATGGTCTCGAAGTCTGTGTCGTTGTAATAGAAGCTCTCGGCATGTGGTCGGATCATCACATAGACTGGGATGGAGATCTGAGATTTCAAGTTGGCCACAGTCTCGGGCTCTGGCGACAAGCCTCCTGATGCATAGTCCCGACATAACCTTGATTGTGTTAGTCCTTAGTTTCAAACGGAGCACGCGCAAGCATACAGTATCTTGATACGGTCCTCAACTTACGCGTTCTTGGCTAAGAAAGAGATGACTCACTCAATCCGATCAGCTCCAGCACTGGCAGCAATTATAGCCGACTTTTCATTAAAGCAAGCAATCTCCAACAGAGGCGAGGTGGCATCCTTGCGCGATCCATTCTTGGTCGAATCGCGCAACGCGGAACCTGGCTTGACGTGCTCCATGTTTTCTATCCGTCATAAGTGACTGTTGGATTGCTGTGTTCATTCTATCTGCATTCTGTGGAAGTCTTACTCTTGTGTCTGGAAGACAGTTTGCGACGTGTATCAATTAGTAGTACTATCTTCGTTTCAATATCTTCTCCACGTGAACTCGAACTCAAAATGGCTTTGACTGTTGCCTTAATGCCTCGGGCAAGTCTGCTTCGGCGCTATTCCCTTTTAGGCATCCAAGGATCAAAGCTGTTCCGCTCCGGACATATTGGATATCTTGATAGAAGTTAGAACGCTGGGGGGCATGGCATTAGTATACGCGAAGTTCCTCCCTCTTCAAGTCTGCTTGCAGAGATCCTGTAATAATTCTTTATATTGTTAACTAATCTTCGCTATGTACGGCCTCAGCTGGTATTCTCGACCATGATTTGAGCCAAGGTTAAGCGAGATTGACAGTATATATTTCCGCTCGGTCTCCAACTTAGAGCATTTTTATAACACACATAATTTGCTTTGATTGGACCAGCCAGCTGTTTTGTAAATGACTAACCTACAAAAAGCTACTATGTATTTGTAGAAGCTCTGATGCTATCGCTCGGGTTCACGGACTTATCAAGGATCATGCGGGGTTGAGGATTGCCGCCGGGTAATGAACCTAACAACAGAATATCAACAACCCCCCGTAACCCAGCGAAGTCTTCTATACACCCTTTACAAATTTTTACACAAGACTTTGAGCCTACCAGAAGTCATGGTCAAGCGTCCTGTCATTGCAGTTGCAGGATTGGCCTGCGAAACGTCTACCTTCACCCCCTCGCGGACACTTGCGCCTGCATTCCATCCCCGCAGGGGAAACGAGGTTATCGATGAATACAAATTCCTACAATCAGGCACACCACTGGGCGACGCAGCAGAATGGTATGGTGCTTTGATTGGTCATGCATTGCCAGGTGGTATGGTGACACGCGATGCCTTCGAGGGGTTGGCAGGAGAGATTTGTGGGCGTTTGGGCGACATTATTTCGACTACGGTTGTTCATGGCCTCTGGTTTGATATTCACGGCGCCATGTGCGTGGAAGGAATTGATGACGCTGAGGTTGAACTACTGCGACGTATCAGGGCCGTTATTGGTCCTGATATCATTGTCTCGGCGTCGATGGACCTACATGGAAACGTGTCTAGAGAACTAGTTCACGAGTTGGACCTCTTAACCTGTTATCGAACAGCACCCCATGTAGATGAGTTGGAGACTAAAGAGCGAGCGTGTCGCAACCTCGTTGGCCTTCTTATACAGGCTTCTGACACCGCTGGAGGTCCGGTACGACCCCTCAAAGCATGGATTCCGGTGCCCATCTTACTCCCCGGAGAGCAAACCTCTACGCGCATAGAGCCGGCTAAGAGTCTTTATGAGGCTGTGTCTGAAGTGGAGGCAGGACCGGGGGTGATCGATGCCGCGATATGGGTCGGGTATCCCTGGGCCGACGAGCCACGTAATCGCGGTGTTGTTGCTGTGACCGGATGGGACGAAACGGCCATCACTGCTGGAGCGGAGCGTTTAGCAAAGAAGTTCTGGGACTCGCGCACGGATTTCAAGTTTGTCGCACCAACGGGGTCATTCCAAAAATGTATTGACACTGCATTGGCCTCTCCTGTCCACCCTTTCTTCATCTCCGACTCCGGTGATAACCCGACTGCGGGCGGTTCAGGCGATGTGACCTGGGGACTGACATGGCTACTTGACCGATCTGAGTTCAAGGGCCCTTCCGGTCCGACAGTTATATATGCGAGCGTCCCGGGGCCGCAAGCTGTCCAGAGAATGGTTGAAGCAGGCGTCGGTGCTAATGTTACCGTTACTGCGGGAGCGGAAGTAGATCATATCCATGCCGGTCCTATCACTATGACCGGACGCGTTCATTCGATCAGGCATGGCGACAAGGACGCCGTCATCGAGGCAGTCTTGCAGGTTGGCAGTGTGTTTGCCATTCTGACTCAGCTTCGCAAACCTTACCATCATGAACATGACTTTACTGACCTCGACCTAAGTCCTCGTGCTACGGATATAGTGATCGTTAAGATTGGATACCTAGAGCCGGAACTGTTTGATATGGCTGCAGACTGGATGCTTGGGCTCACTCCTGGTGGTGTGGACCAAGATATCAAGCGACTAGGGCATAAACGTATTCGTCGACCGATGTGGCCTTTCGATACTACTTTTCCGGAGCCCCCGGATCTAACGGCACGGATGATTGCGAGATCTAATGAACCGATGGATGGACCTGATGAGTGACAGGACTTATGTCTTGAAGCTTCTCCAAAAGCTAAATGTGTAATGTGGACATACTCGATTATATATTGATCATAGGTATAGGCTACAGTTACCTACCTGTAATATCAGTTCTGGGCTTACGTGGACCTCAACGTGGACCAAACTCCAGGGGCTTTGGCTGACCCCACCAGTCGCATGGGTTAAATCTCCAGGCTCCATTACCCGCGGCGAACCAGTACTTGACTAGGTAGGGCAACACCCAGGGCAAGGGAGGAAAGTCATGGCCGCCTTCGTAAGTCTTATCGGCGCAACCAAGCACCACGGGGAAGACATCGTACTGTAGCGAACGAATTAGAACGCCACCTGCTGGTGTCCTATGCATGGCATGTAAGAGAAAGCTGAGTGGGAACATACAAGCATCGCCAGATTTCCTGATTGCATTGCGACTTTCTCAGCCTTTTCCCATACCTTCTTCAACCCATCGCTATCGAATTCTCCCATATTCAAGAAGACATCGATCTCAGCGTAGAGATGATCGGTCAGGTCCTTGCTAAATGAGTCGAATATTTTCTCCATGCCATCGGCCCCTTTCCACCGGTACTCCTCGGGTGTCGTACCTGAGGAATACGCAAGTAGCCTTTCTAGTCCGTCATGGAAGAGCTCGTGCTGATGCATGGGGTCATCCATAAATCCCGGCCTCTCGGTAAACCTATCAATCTCTGGGAACATGCAAGTTTCCTCAACCCAATGGTGGTGATGGACCATCTTAACCCACGACTGAACATAGAAGAGAAGGTCTTTGACATCCTGGGCTTTGAATTGTTCATCCGTGGCAATGGGCACGTACGGCGCCTGCTGCAGGATAGCATTCAGTCCTCGGATAATGACATTATGCGCGTGTGCCATCTGAGAGGCACCGGAAACGTGGCCAAGCGATTCCTGAGCATTCAGTCAGCCTGTACCGTATATTTTTATTTTTATTTTTCTCTATAGGAATGTGAGCACATACATCCAACCTCTTTGACGGCGTCGCGATCAGGTGAAAGGGCTCGTCTGCCCATGGGGCGCTCGACGGTTTCGTTGTCATGGTGCGACGCAACGTTTTATCTTGAAATGGATGTTAACTTTGATCTCTGGTTGAATACGGTCAGAGCTGCGCTTATAAGAGACTCTAAAGCAAACACTTATATTAAACGGTACTAGTGTCTGTGCGAGAGCCAAGCAATGGAATACGAATTCAATCCTCGGGATTGGCTTATCCACGCTGTTCGCTTATCTTAAGTCACCAATGGCAAGATTAAAAATACAAGCTGACTATTCTAGGTCTATCTATAATAGATTAATTGGTGAGATTCTTAGTCTCTTCGAGGTTCATTGGTCACAGGCGCAATTTAAAATGGGAGGCCCTATTGTCTCAGCTCAGCCTCAGCGACACTGAGAATATCGTGACGCTGTATCCAAAGTTCTAAACTGGCAGAGCTGCCCAAGCGGTCAGCAATACGATAGAAAGCTGCATTGCTACCCAGCTAGACTATAAGCCAGGCAAGCCATGAATCGAAGGGGAAAATGCCGTTGTGATTCATCAAGCTTATTATTGGCGTATCATGTCCGTACTCTACTCCAGGGGACTTTCTCAGGTGCTTTTAGGTATATCTAACAGGTGGAGAATGGGACTTTAACTCGTAGTCCCTCGGGGTATGTCATTATTGCGCTAAACATCTCTACTAGTGAGCTTCAGCAGGCGAGCCGAGAGCTTCGAGGGAGTCCGGATGTGTAGTATTCCCTGCGCAAGCTCCCATGATATCTCACATGGAAAGGTAGAGGGATAAAGCAGTTCTGCCTTGACAGGACGCCCACGGAGAGCAGGAATAGGCAGCTCAACGGAATCTAGACCTCCTCGTCTCCAGACAGCTAAATAGCGGACGCCCAAATCACGATTGTCAGGCATATGCACCTCCATCCCTAATGCGACCCATTCATCATGCCAGTGAGGAAGACCGAGAGGCCAGAAAGCAGTAGCCGTGGCCAAGTCGGCGCGAATTGTACGGTATACATCCATACCTTGCTTGATAAGCGCAGACTGGTGCGGCGTAAGTTGGTCTAAGCGTCCGCTTAGATGTATGCGGCCGAGAAGACTATTAACCACCGTCATCGCATTCGTCTCGTCATCCCACTCCGGCTGAGGGTATGCCCAGGTGGCACCTTGCTCGGGGGTAACAGCTGTTGGAAGAGCGGCAGCAATTGCTGCGTAACGATCGGGATCTTGTTGGTCGCTAGTTGACTGCAAGGCATGGACAGCCAACATAGCATAATCCATTCTCTGCGCGCCGCTCGAGCAGTTTTCAATTACCAAGCCAGGATACCGGTCATGCAGCTCACTTACCCAGTGCAGGTACGCCCGATTGTGATCTAATTGACCAGACCCTGGACTTGAAGATTTGATGTCGGTACCTTGGGTGACTTCGATGTTATAGTCGAATTTAAAATAGCCTACACCATATTCGGTGACTAGCCGGTGGATAACAGCATGCATGTGTTCTCGGACGGCTGCGTGGCGATAGTCTAGCTGGTAACGCCCTTTTTCAACGATGCGCTGGCCATTTCGTTGAAAGAACGCTTCATATGGTAGCTGTTTGGTAACAACGCTGCGTACTCCAATTACTTCCGGCTCGATCCAGAGGCCTGGAATGAGGCCTTTGGTTTTCAAGTGCAAAAGTAGTTCCCGGAATCCCATCGGAAAACGCTTCTTCGACGGTTCCCACAACCCAACGTCATCCCACCAGCCGGAATCATCTGCATACCAACCAGCGTCAATAACAAAGTATTCAGCCCCGGTTCGCAGTACGGGGTCGACGAGTGCCAGGATCTTCTCGTCAGTGGGGTCACCCATAAGACAATTCATATAATCATTAAAGATAATAGGCAACCGCTCATGATCCTGGTGTTTCCGTCGCATCTGTCGCCGGTAGCGGGTCATCTCCGCAAATGCATGTTCGTAGTTCCCCAGGACATGGCATAAAGCCACAGGCACGGTGGTGAACGCCTGTCCCGGGGAGAGCGTTTGTCTCCAATCATGGTCGGTCTCGATCGGGCCGCCAGCAGCCAGATAGACACAGTCTTTCCAGTCACCGACTTCCCAGCGCCAGGAGCCATTGTTTTCCACTTGCCAAAGCCATGTCTCAGCATTGTCTGTGCGCTTCAGAAGGCCCATAGGCAAATGGCCCTCTGTTGAGAAGGTCCCTCGGTTGGAAACCGAATAGTGGCCTAAGCTGGCTGCATGTCCCTCAGGACGCCCATACACGCCGTAATCATCTATACCCAAACTGGGTAGATCGTAATCAATCCATTGTGCCTCCCGGAACCATGAATTATTGGGAACTGCGAGAATGTAGTCGGACCACCATTTTTCAGCGCCAATGGTGAGCCCACCCAGGACCAAAGAGGTCAGTTGTGTCACCACAATATCTTTATCACTATCATTTCGGATTGTACTTGTCGCACGGAGTACATTGGTGTTCTGGTAGACTGTGAGGTGCGCAATGACTGTCACTATAGAAACAGAGTCTTTCAATGTGATGTCCAGAGTATGGGTGCCCGCTTGCTGCCTAATCTCATGCGATTGGTAGCGCAGTCGGGTCCCCACGTATGTGCCTATCAGAGACTTGGATGATTTATGCTTTGCAGTGCCTTCCCCCGCCAGTCGCACCTCCACCAGCGGTGTGTAGGAATTAGCGAAGTATTTAGAGACCGACGGTCGAGAAGAACCGGACAAGGGAATCACTTCCTGCAGGGAAGCAGATCCTTGATCATCAACGTAGACATTGACACGCAAGACGTCGCTTTGTAGTGTAATGATCTCCGGGAGGGGCATATTCAAGGGGAACACTCGGGCTTCAATCACAGAACGATGTGAGTAGATTATTTGACTCGTGGGCCTTGGAAAGTAGGTCTTCGCTTCACGTTCTCATTTGTCGGTAACTCACGCAAAGAGGAATGAACTTGACTCAAGAGATGGCTGTGAAGGACTTCTTTCTTATAAGAATAAGAGCCTACAGTTCATGTTATGAGGTGGGGAAATGGCACCCTGGGGTTGGTGGAAATTGTTGGAGACAGGGTTTGCGTAAATAGGCTGGATATCCTGGCAAGGCATCTCCGCATTTTGAGGGCAACTTCTCGTCAACATCGGTTGAGGCTTGATGCCATCTAGAAACTACCCCTCTCAGGAAAATTAATATAGTGTGATAGAGCATAGCTTTTTGCTATCATAATGAACTCTGACTGATATCGACTCGCCATTTATTTTACTGATCAGATCTAATACAGTTAATCCTATTGCAAGCAAGATACTCCTAACCCAATATCTCGTTCAAAACTATTCATAGAATCTGTAATGCTCGTACCCTACCCTTTTAAGTCCATATAAAAATATCATACATTCCTAATTTACCCAGGCAGCTAGAGCAGTTCAGACAGAGCATCACCACCCACTGCTGGAAACACGTGGTAGGGTTGTTTGTTACTTCTCAATGCTCTTATCACAACCGCAAAGCCATTCTCTTCAGGGTCTCTGGCCAGTCGTACAAAATGGTTACTTGTACCTGGTCGGAAGGAATCATCATGGAAATCGATCTGGTAGCCCTGTGACACTCTAAATGGGACACATCCAGTGCGACCATGTTGCGCCCGCGGCGATATCTACCTCACCGATAACATTTGCAGGTACAGCCACTCGACTCAGGGTGGAAGCGGATAATATACCGCCGCATGTACAGTGAATGCTACTTCTTTTGACGGTACTGAGAACAAATCTGTCTGTGTAAGCCGAGGTGGTGAGTCTTAGCTCCTGCGCTGGACCAGGGCCTGGGATTTACTGTAGTCACTTCTAACCTTCTTCTTGCCCAAAGGGTGATACCTCAATCCCCGACATTGTCTACGACTCAGGTGACGATATCTGGAAATGTTGTGGTGGGACATTCGCAAAACGAGATTGTCAGAATCCATCATCAAAGGACAGCTTTCGCGCTGCCTGTCGTGATGAGATCACCGCATACTGGTCTGCTGGGTCATCGGCCACTGTTCCTTCCAGCTCCCTTCCACATCCTCTTCGGGTTCTACAACTACAACTGCAATAAGCCATCTATCCGGTGATGGCTCGTCCTCTCTATCCACCGGCGCTAAAGCGGGTATCGGCGTCGGTGCCGCGGTTGGGGGTATCTTGCTCATCACTGGGGCATTCTTTCTCCTCCGTCGACGGCGCCAAAGACATCCTCGAGCCATGCCAGTCACAGAGGGTCCGCGGCTTTCCCGATCGCTCATTGCTAGCCCGCCACCGCAAGAGCGATCGGCGACACACAAACACTTATCAGCGCAGGAGCTGGAATGACCGACAGAGCGTGGATCCAGTTGACATTCGGCTACTTGGGAAATCGATAGAGCCCATCCAATAGATTATACTTAATGCCAGGAACCCGTCATTCAGGGCTGCGACAGGCCATGAATGGTTCTGAAAGGCTTTTTGTACATCAGTGCTAGCCTTCTGCCATCTGAAAAACGGTAGCTATCAATTTGCTTCCTCATGACTAACGGAAGGACACGGACGCTGGTTTACCCATATTCGATTCTTGGCACATTCGTAGTCTGTGCCGGTTCTTCTTTAATATAGCTTAATATGATTAGAGATAAATGAAAAGAAAATTAAGCTTCTATCTATAACTTTAAGAAAGCTGTCGAAAGAGAAAGGAAAGCAAATATTCGGGGGGGCCACTTATTTTCTTCCACAGCAGGTTAATTTAAGCAGTATTGTTAATTCAATCATAGTAACGAATTCCCACGATAGACCAAAGCTTATGCCGAGCCACGAGATTTCACCAAGCTGAAGGTGTTTCGCTTGTCGGGTATGATAAAGCACAAGGCATGAAGAGACAGCTGCACCCTCATGCATTAAATCGAGAGTTAGTCAGTTCCCCTTCCTACAATTTCTTCATCGAATACTCGAGGTGATTTCCGCGGAGATTGCGGTTGCTGTGCAGTATCAGTCTCCGTTTGGCCTCATTTTCTGTTCTTTATTTAGGTTCTCAGCCAGCCTTCTCCCTTGCATGCCATCGCCATACCAGGACCGGGAAGGACGGCGACTGTTCTGCTCCAGTATCCCTCAAAGATGGCTGTTTTCCAGTATGTATGTATCCCTACTAGTAGGTCTGCAGGTCAAACTGCAGTGTTTTCTCGGTGGAGGAGAGGACTCTGTCGGTTCGTCCGATTACTCCGCACATACGTGAAAGGTACTTACTCCGTAGGAGCAGAAGGATTCCAGAGGATTTTCATAAATTGAGTGGCAGGAAAGACCCACAAGAGCTTTGGCCAGCAAATCAACAGCCTCTAAAGTGAGACATGCAGCAGGATTGTTCGAGTCAGCATGGAATTTCCAGTGAAAATTTCGCATTGCCAAGAGAATTAGGGTAGTGGGATTTAATATCAAGCTTGCGCGAAATGTAACCTGAACGGCGAAAGACGGGCGAACCTGCAGCGTTAGTCCTCTTGGCCTATCAATAAACAAACAATATTATGCAATAAGTTCGAACTATCGACGGTCTTGCCGCGATTGGTAAGACGCTATTCAACTGTCCTGATACGAATGAGAAACTCCAGTCACTGTCTGTATGATCTGACCAATGCTTCTCGTAATAGTAATCTGCTTGATATTAGAAATTCAGAATCCATGAGATCCGATGATTGGTCGTGCAATGCGATTGGTGCATATGTAGCTGGGCTCCTTGCCTTCCCCATAGCCTTGATGATCAGCCGCAGCTGAGAATGGTTTGGCTATCGTCAGAACGGCAGCCAAAATGTAGATCTAAATTCCCCATCTAAAGTGCTTCCTCTGGCTAGCCAAGATGGCGTGACACCGATGAGGTTTGTGGGCCAACGTATATATAGCTTGATAAAGCCCTCACTCATGCCAGCCTATTGTGCACAAATCCACGGCCACTTCCACCACGCCAGTGGCACTCGCCCATCATGAAGTTCCTCGTCACGGTTGGGACGCTCCTCTTCTCTTTGGTCTCTGCGCAGACTGAAGTGCCTGATGTCGACAGTCTTGCTGTGCAAAAGCATCTCCGCTCTCGGTCTGCATTGATCGCGTTCGAGAAGAGACAGCGACAAGGTCTGTACCTGCGGAAATTAACAAAACCGGTCGAAAATGTTAACATAGCGGTAGATCACTTTTTCCGTCAAAATCTTTCCTCTGTAGCCCAGAGAGCGGACGCCATCGTGGCAGCTATTCGCCAGGAGGAAATCGACGATTACTGGAGAGTCCCTGGAACCCCGGAGAAGAATGATACCGACGAGAGGTTCGCCGGGGAGGTCTTCCCGAAAGCCCGGCCGTTGATCAATGGAACCAAGCTCTGGGACGTGGTCAAGCACATGCCAAAGGGTGCTCTTTTACATGCGCATTTGCCGGCCATGCTTCCCTATGACACCCTTCTGGACACCATTCTTCACACGGAAGGTATGGTCATCTCCGCCTCCCAGGATGTATCCACCGAGGATAACCGCCGGAATGCCTCCATCTCGTTTGCCCATGTCAACCATACGATCGCGACCAATGTATCGTCGATCCATTCTAAGGATTATGTCCCTAACACGCAAATTCCCGTGACTGTGGCTGCCGATACTTTCCCCGGTGGTCGACAGGGATTCATCGACTTCGTCAATACCAAGGTGACCATCTCCCCGGAGCTGTCTGTACGTCACGAATTGGGAGTCGATGAGATCTGGCGTGTCTTCCAGACAGCCTTTGACCCCGCCAACACCATGCTATCGTACGAGCCCATTGTCCGGACATTCTACAAGAAGCTCTTTTCGCGCCTGGCCGAAGATCACATCAACTGGGTAGAAATCCGTGCTGGAGGTTCGAGCGGCAAGCTGGTCCATGAGGGCCAGGAGGACCCTGATCCGGATCTGGACATTTGGTGGAACGTGCTGCTGGAGGAGCTGGAGAAGTTTCAGAAATCTCCGGAGGGCGCACACTTCTGGGGAGCGAGGGTCATCTGGTCTGACAGCCGAGGCAAGAACCGTGCTTCACTGACCAAGAGTAAGTAGAAATTGCCGAGATCAATGCTCTCTGTATCTAATGGGTTCGCGCAGGCATGAAAATTGCTCTTGAGCGGAAGCGCAGGTGAGACTTCTAATTTTCCTGGAACTATGAGTTTCTTGTTGATTAACAGATCTTGATTAGACACCCTCAGCTCTTTTCCGGCTACGATGTGGTTGCTCAGGAAGATTTGGGCCGTCCGCTCATCGATATGGCACCCGAATTGATCTGGTTCCAGCAACAGGCTGAGGAGTCGAACCTCACTATCCCTTTCTTCTTCCATGCGGGTGAGACCCTCGGCGATGGAAATTCGACCGACCTCAACTTGTTCGATGCAGTTCTCTTCGGCACACGCCGTATCGGACACGGCTTCTCCCTGTACAAGCACCCGAGACTGATTGACGAGGTGATCGAGAACGGTATCATGGTTGAAGTTTGCCCTATCTCAAATGAAGTCCTTCGTCTCGCCACCGATGCCCTTCACCATCCCCTCCCCGCAATGATTGCCCACGGTATTCCGACGGCCATCAGCAACGACGACCCGGCGATCCTTGGCCAGAACGCAGCTGGTCTGAGCTACGACTTCTATCAGACAATTCAAGCCTTTGACAATATTGGTCTTGCTGGCCTGGTAAGCTCTCTCTCTCGTGGTGCTTTCATATGTAATGGAACACGGCTAACAAGAAGAAAACAGGGAGCGCTCGCGCAGAACAGTATTCGATGGAGCAACTTCGAAGATCAGGACGACGTTGAGTGGGTTCGTGATATTGACTTGGGTGAGAATGGCGACGGCATTAAGGCCCAGCGTCTGCAGGAGTGGAAGGAGAAGTGGGAGGCTTTCTGTGAGTGGGTTGTGCAGGAGTATGGAGACCGTTACGCCACGGAGGAGATCTGATGCCTATAATTGGGCCCATGAATGTTGGACTGATACCTCATCTTTCCATGCCATTGCCTTATATTAGCTATTTCACACTAAATATATTTAACTCAATTTTGGTTATGGTCGTATGGTAGATTGCGGAATAACCTCACAGTATTCAAAGAGTGACCGCAAATGCTCAAATACTCACGACTGGATAGACCATCAGCCATCAGAATACCTGTAACCGCATGTCACTGATCTATTATTGCCCGTTGGCAGTATTCCCGTTTCCTAGCACCAAATTCCCTGTGTCCATCACCTTTTGCAATGCAGAGTTCAGCGAGAGTATGTTCTTAGCTTAGGGCAACCAATTTCCAAAATCAGCCCTACCACGTGCTTCCTGCCCTAATGTCTGCATGATCTGTTCTGCACAGGCGAGAACCGCTTCGAAGTCAAGACTATTGGTCGTTTGCGGTTGTATTGTGCTGTACGGTAAGTCGGCCATAGCAGCACTGTTTCCGCCTGTTCTCGCTGAATCCTCCTCAACGCTGTTTTCCTCTAGAGATGGCTCGATTCTCCATCAATCCTCGACTTAGTGCCGAAGACTCCACAGACGTGTCTCTGAGCCCTGTGGACTGATTGACCCTAGCGAACAAGACGATCGACGCCCTTGAGCCGTGACAAGCTTCCCGTGACAGCAAGGCATCGCGATAATTCGTCAGACACCGTTGGTTTGGCTCACATGTCGTAGAGTATCCATCCAAGTGCTTTGCTTCCAGCTTAGAGGCATGCCTACGTGTCCGCAAGCAGATGCGACCGTGGAAAAGCAATGGCGCACTGCATAGTCTAACCGAGATAGCATATTCAGAACGACGAAAGGAACACTTCGGCTTCTTCGAGTCGGGCGCCATAGATCACGAGCTTCGAACGGAAGTACATATCAATACGATATATTCACCAAAGACCGATCGAGCAATGCATGACGTGCGTATCTGCTACATGTCGCCGGTCAATATATCGATACAAGAGAGCCGTTTTTCTGCTATCGGAACGCGCGCTTGGCGGACTCAATCGCACCGGAAGCGACATACTAAGGCACATCGTTCCTGCTGCTCTATAATCCATTCTTGGGTGTTCTATCCACTCATCTTCAGGGTAAGCTTCGGGGTCTGCGCAATAAGAACTCCCATCGGAACAATCTATCCAGAATGAAGCTTCATGTCGTGGTGTTTGCCAATCTCTTAGCGCCCGGTCGGAGGACGGCTAGGGCAACGAATAACATCGATAAGGGCTGGCGGGTGGCTGAATAAGTAACTCTGATCCCTGTCATGCAAGTCATCTTGGCTCGTGGGAAATCTGTAGCTGTTGTTATGTCAATCTAGCCCTTGTAGAGCATATTGACTGGATAAATTCGTCTGGAGATCATGATCGAAGGAATACAAGTTGGCGAGTCAATCGAACTTCAATTTGTAACGTTGAACATCTCTAATATTAGGAGATAGCACCATTCACCACAGTATAACTGGCAAATTGACCAATATGTGGTATGAGATAGCAAGTAAGCCATCCACCCATACGAAAGAGCAAACTCAGAAACCGGCCTCAGTGGGGAGATAGACAAGAGAGATCGTGTGCAAGCGGGAAGAAATATATACGACGACAATTATGCCAACATATCTTTCCACCAGTGCGAGTGAAACGGCGCGATTTAAATAAGCTAGGTCCGCAAGAGTGCATTTCTCCTCCGTACTAAATTCCATTCTATTACTTTAGAGCTGGGGTCGATGACGCCGTTCTCTCAAGCACATCAATATATAATAGCGAGCCAAGCCGCCGGCATACACGCCGACCGGAGATCGTTTACATAGTATACTTCTTATGGTTGGAGAACTTCATCCTTCGACAGTCCAACTGCACCTGATGGAGCATGAATTAGAAAGCCTTTGAGGACTAGTCTTAGCGTGTGACGATTTAACCATTACTCCTCCGTATTCTCCAATCCGCTAAGATCCACCATGAATATCATTATAATTTCTACAAGCGAGATGAGCGTCCGGCCGAATGTGGCGACATTTGTCTTGGCCGCCGAGATTCTACGGTAACTGGTGGTTCACGGTGTTGCCGAACGTGGGACACCACAAGTTTTTCCTTAATGTAAATGTGCTACGCATAAGATGTACAATTGCCATTGTTTCGGATCAATTGACCCTGTTAAGTATAGTATCAAAATTCTCGGCGTCTGCCCAACAAAAGGCCAAAGAGTGTTCACTATCTCCTTGGCAACTACGCCTCATCTTTATCGGCGAACGGAAGATCTTCGGTCAGGCCTTTTCCCAGTCAGGTAATTTAAAAGAGAAAGTGCATGGAAGCTACCAAAAGATCTGCACCGATAGGTCTGAACTTTGATAGTGTTTCGAACAATGCTAAGCGCGGCAATGGGGAATTTAGAAAAACGTGGTTGCAGTAATGATAAGATAGAGTACCTGAAGCAAGCGAGCTCAATGATTATTGAATAATTCTATTAGAGTAAACAGGGCCTATCTCACTATCTCGGTGGAGCAGGAGCCCGATAGCTCGTTTTGGCTCCGCCCTAGATACAGATATCAAGCTTGTATCCAGATCTAGATTATTAAGGATGTGGAGCAAGTTTGAGTCGGTATGCCGGTAGTCCTTATTCTTAATGTCTAGTGAATTGTCTGTACATCGCTCTCTGATGATGTTTGGATTATTACAGCATCTACAGAGACGATTGAGGGCTGTTCGAGTACAGATGTAGCAGAGCATCACAGCGTGCCTGTCATGACGGAAGACGGAATCCGAGCAGCACGAAGGGGTTCTAGAAGGCATCGAGGTTCAACTATCGAGGTCTCCACCGGCTTCACGAGTCTACACCGAAGCGCACCGGGCCGGGAACCGGCAACATACCGGTGGAACCAACCGGGTAGAAATTAGATACGTAGTGCATGTGAGCAGCGGTAGCCTAAGGAACCGACTGGAGAACCTCCCATCATATTCCCCGACACGGCGTCTTTATTGGCACAATCCAGCCACTAACCGCGTGCCGAGTCCTTCCCCAGGGGAGTGATTGTTCCATCGCCTCTTCCCCCGGAGTGCGGCCCCCACTGGAGAGTGACCGACCTGAGTCGAAAAATAGTAAATCCGGAGTAGCGATGCGGGGAGAAGGGGATCAAACAGTAAAGCCCTAAGGTGGTATGCGTCTCGCCTCCACCCCTTGCGTAGAAAAACCCGCAACAAGTAACACAAGCGATATTCAATTTGCATTGTGTTGTTCCTGATTTTCCCTTGATATTGATGCAACCCTCGGGTGACGTACCATCTCGGCCAGCCCGGGTCCGGCACGCTTTCCTGTCCTGATGGCAGCACTCAAGGTCTCGCCACCGAAACTAATCCTACTTTGTACACTCCATAGAGCACTGATTCTTCCATACTACGTACCCCGGTCAACTCCAGGCAGCCAAGCCGCCATACGAGAAAGTGTCCAATTACATAATATATCAATTACCTAATGGCAGGACGGAAGGAGGTCCCTTCCCCAGACCGAATCCAGGTGGCCATGCGGAGGTTGTCTCACTCCACGGGTTCTAACCTCACTAACCGTAGAGAGGCAACCGGTGACGTACAGACGTGGAGAAATCCTCTCCTTCCTCCCATTGTCGGGAAACCGAGTGGTAATATCCGTACGTTATGAAAATCAATCATTGGCCTCCCGATGTGGAGGAGATTTTCCGCCAGACACCGCTGCTATCAGCAGTGCCGAACAGGAGGTGTTCTGTCACGGCCCATCGGCACCACTTTTCTGCAGGGAAGGTATTCCAATGAGCCAATGCGAGTCTCGAATTGTCCTGCGTCTCGGCGGGTGTTCCACATTCAGCCGTGGGACTGTTTCTAAGCACAGTGGCACACAGCCTCGCCGAACGTTTTGTTCTGCAATCGTTCTAGTCTTCCTTCCGTATTCGGTCATCTTATGCGGTCGTGAACAATACTCCGTACTACTCTGTACATTCCGATGAGACAAGAAACGCAAGGGGAGACGGAAAACGGCAAAGGACCGCGGGATCTGCATTGTGAGATCATCGTCACGGATTTAGGGCAACGACTTAGCCCTTTGAGGCGTGAGAATAAGAGTTTGAAGAGCGTGCGGCAAGTGCTGACTCAGCATGTTCAGCCAATCAGAGCCTGGGTCAGAAAATTCTGGATGGAGTCGAGGCAAAAGTTAAACCTAAAACCCTAATTATGGAGAATATCGAAAAGAAGGAAAAAAGAAAAGGCAAAAAAAAAAATTATTAACGGAACATAACCGCTCGGTTGGGGATTTTAGTCTATTTGTTAGTTATATCCGACTCCAACCGCCTCCCCAGTGGTCCTAGCTGCTCCTAAAATACTGCGGCGGCGCCGTTGTTTTTCGATTCTTTCTCCTTATGATCCTTTTTGCGACTCATCCATCCCTATCGACAACATGACCGTACACAGAGAGGCCGAGTCGGCTGCCATCCAGAATGGCCCCAACTATGATGATCATTATGCCGACGTGGAGAAGAAGGAATACAGTGAGGATGTGCCAGCAAACGATCCATTCGGCAACGAGGAAGAAGGAGAAGTCAAGTATCGTGTTATGGGTTGGTGGTAAGCTTCCAATGCTCCGTGCAAAAAAGGAGTGCCGTTGTTGTTCAGCGGTGCTATGCTTCCAATACGGTCGCTGACCTAGGCAATTTGACTACAGGCAATGTGGAATGTGTAAGCAGTCCTCCACTCGGTTCCTGGACCATAACTCTGAGCATGCTGTCTAACGCGCCCATGTATAGTGATGATCGCGGAGAATATGTCCCTAGGCATTCTATCGCTTCCATCCGCGATGGCAACGCTAGGACTTGTTCCGTAGGTGTCATCTCATCCTATAAGTCAATGAACAACGGAAAGACTAACGAACAACTCTAGAGGAGTGATTATTCTTGTCGGAATGTCCGGCGTATCGTGGTACACAGGTTATGTTATCGGACAGTTTAAGCTTCGCTTCCCTCAAACGCACAGCATGGGTGACGCCGGAGAGCTTATTCTGGGTCGCTTTGGACGGGAAATGATGGGTATTGGCCAACTGCTCCTCTTGATCTTCCTGATGGCTAGCCATATCCTTACGTTCTCGGTGCTATTCAATACCATCACCGGTCACGGAACCTGCACCATAGTTTTCGCTGTCATTGGAATGGTCGTCAGCTTCATCGGCGCCCTTCCACGTACCATGAACAAGGTGTACTATATGTCCATTGTCTGTCAGTACTTCCCACTACCCAGGCATCTTGCAAACTGTTACTGACAACCCTTTCAGCTTGCATTAGTATCATCGCAGCGACCTTTATCACCATGATTTCCATTGGAGTCCAGGCCCCTCCTCATGTCCAGGTCGATGCGACCAGGGACGTTAGCTTCCAGGATGCATTCTTGGCCGTGTGCAACATTATCTTTGCCTATAGTATGGCTTGATCACCTCTCCGGCATATCGTGCATATTGTTCTAACCTCGTCACAGTCACTCACGTTGCCTTCTTCGGACTCATCTCGGAAATGAGAGACCCTCGGGAATTCCCCAAGTCGTTGACCATGCTTCAAGTGGTGGACACGTCCATGTACGTCGTCACAGCGATCGTCGCCTATCGTTATGCCGGCCCAGATATCGCATCCCCCGCCCTTTCGTCTGCAGGACCTGTCATGAAGAAGGTTGCTTACGGCATTGCGATGCCCACTGTGCGTTTAGTCCTGATGTCCCTCAACCGTTCAACTTTCTCACTGTTCCATAGGTTGTCATTGCCGGTGTTATTTACGGTCACGTTGCCTGTAAATACATCTATGTTCGCGTTTTCCGTGGCTCTGACCACATGCACCAGAAGAGCATGCTTGCTGTTGGAACCTGGGTTGGCATTGCACTCGCCCTGTGGGTGATCGCATGGGTCATTGCTGAGTCCATTCCCGTCTTCAACGACCTTCTGAGTTTGATTGTATGCGTTCTTAACCCCCCCAATGTTCCCTGTCTGTTGCTAATTCATCCCCTATAGAGTGCCCTTTTCGGTAGTTGGTTCAGTTATGGATTCCCTGCCATTTTCTGGTTGGTCATGAACAAGGGAGTCTGGTTCTCTTCTCCCCGGAAGATCCTCCTGACCATCGTCAACCTGATCATCCTCGGCATCGCCTGCGCCATTGTATGTCTTTACCCTCTCCATTTCTTCTCGTTATGATATTAACCTCTCTGCAGTGCGGTTTGGGTCTCTACGTCTCGGGTAAATCGATCCACGAGAACTCCTCTTCTGCTAGCTGGACCTGTGCCAACAACGCCGTCTAATTCTCTTTTACGGCACCCTCCACCCACAACAAGACACACGCACCGTGTCGATGACTTCCTATGAGAAGATATTGGGATGGGCATGTTAGAACCAGCCATTTCGATTATAGCGGGCCTATAGTTTTGGGACTCGGCCATCGCCCAGTCACCAGATTCAAGGCTGTTCTAATGGTTACTATATATATTAGCATCTTGATCGGCATCTTAGAAAGCGTCAAGGGATCTGTACTGTACATAGAATATCTAGAGAGCTTCACTTTTTTGCATGTGACATGAAGTCAAAATGAACATAAATTCTTCACCTTAAAATCGTGGTCGTCATGCATGGTCCGTGGTTGTCAGTATCACCTTCAGTCAGCGGCCCGTAGCGATAGAATACCTTCATGCTATTTATCATGGATTTCAATCGATGCCTTTGGATGATGACACGATTCATTTGTATAATTTACTTGAGAAACGACCAAACGCGACCGTGGTGAACTCATCCTCTGGAGAGTTGCCTAGATCTGGATTCTTGCCTTCTTTTACTCGGAACAATCGTGCCCTGATCCTGTGAGATACAGAGTTAGACTCTCTTTGGCAGTGATGAATTGGATAAACTCCTGGATATGCCTAGACAAAACGGATTTACATTGTGCTGATTTCACTTGATAGTGTGTCAGGAGAGAGAGAGATATATATCTTGACAAGAACATGAACACAGATCCGGTGGCGACGAGAACATTGCAACGACCCACAAGATTACAGTATCGAAATGAAAGCTTAAATAAGAGACGTACCCCGACTCAGTGTCTACCACTCTAGTAACTGATACTCAACTATAGAATTGTGGATAACTGGCCCGAGTTTAGGAGGTAGAAACAGCCACGCAGCAGGCTTGGCGCATAGAGGATAGGAGATCCCACGACGGTCATGAACGTCCATAGTAGTATGGATATTAGATTGCAAATGATTTAAGTTAGCTCATTACCCGTTGGCTACAACATACCTTTGCTCAAATGACTGAAGGTGTGGGAATTCCGAAAATTATGGAAGCATTTTCTGACTGCCGTAAAACTCTTCGCTAAACATACTAACTAGCAGGGAGCACTAGAGACGAAGCACCAGTTTTCCAACCTGTTTACCTTGCCAGACATACTCAATGGCCTCATCGGCCTTTTCAAACGGGTAGATGGAGTCGATAATATCATCGAACTTGATTTGTGTGGCCGAAAGCGCATCGCAAAGGTCGTCTTGATCCTGCTTGGACCCAGCATTGATACCCCTAATAGTGACGATTAGTCCCTGCTCAGGCAGGTCATCCTAGTATGTAATGAGGCCTCACCTTAGGACAACTCTCCTGTCGATTAGAACGGACAGAAGCTCTGCGAATTCGCTGGTATCCTGCTTGCTGAGATATCCCACCTGGCTAACAATTCCGCCACGTCGTGTACACTTCATGCTCTTCACCAGCGTGGAGGATCCACCAACCTCAACCACGATATCGACACCGGCTCCATCGGTCAACTTTAGAACTTCCTCGTGCCACTCGGGGTTCTTGGAGTAGTTCACAGTCAACAGCGGGGGGCTGGGGAACTGCTCCTTCATTTTCTGCAACTTGGCGTCGCTCGAGGAGGTCATGATCACCTTCAGGCCTGCGGCCCGCGCCAACTTGAGCGCAAACATGGCCACGCCGCCGGTACCTTTCGAGTCGTTAGAAGAAAAATCCAGCCTAGCTTTCAGTTGCAGTGGACCGACCTTGAATCAGGACAGTTTGACCAATTTCCATACCCTTCAGCGCCGCCCACGCGGTCACCCCGGCGCACGGGATAAGACTCGCTTGAACCCAGTCGAGGTACGTAGGCAGCTTGCACAGCTTGTGCTCATCAAACACGATGTAATCTGCCAGTACTCCATCCTCATCGGCCGCTAGCCAAGACCGAGTCTTTTCTCGTCCAGTGATGTTCTCCGTGTCCACGATCGGGGCTGCCCGATCCCCAATCGCCAAGTTCTTCACCCTCTCGCCGACGGCGACCACCTCACCCGCTGCATCATTGCAGGGGATTCCATGGGGTACTACCGGCCAAGGGTTGCCTCCGTTGGCAATGTTGGCGTCTCTGTAATTGAGCGACACGGCATGGACCTTGATCAAGACCCCGGAGGGAGATAGGGGAGGAATTGCTTCGGTGACAAGCTTCACCTTAGGGGTACCCGGAGTATGATCATCCGTTCGGCGAAAAGCCTGGCGGGATGTAGGTTGTGGTTGCGACATGTTGGTTTTGTGTTATAGTAGGATTCTCTTTGGATTGTTGAGTATTTGCTTCGTAATTCCTTGTTGGTTGAAGCAGCTGTCCCGTTTATTTATCAGTGGCATCTCTGAGTCGGAACCAAACATTCATGACGACGAATTACCCCACCAACCTGTGCGGGGAAAACAGGACGACGTTGGCATACTGAACTTGAATCTATACTTGCATCTATACTCATCCCGCCGGGCTGTTGTGCTCTCATTTTTTTCACCAGATTGGGGTTAGTGATCCCGGGTGGATTATTAATTCATGCTCTTCATCTTCTTCCGCGTGGATCGGCTGAGAACCCGAGACCTGTTGACCTTCTAGAGATAAGAGATCCATACAAGCAAATTTTGTTAGCGATGGGAGCTCACTTTACCTTCCAATCTCAGTCACTGGGGTCTGCAGCAGGAGTAATTCCTGGTCTACGTGTGTCAGTCCGGAGTTACCTCTCGGTACAGGGGATCGACAATTTTGCCAGTTGAAGGTGAGATTTCCTCAGTGCTGATGCAGGAAAACTGAGAATTTGGGAGGTATGATATTCATAGATCATCGAACATGGTATGTTCTGCTACTTTTCTGCGACGCGGTTCAGCTAAAAGGTAATGGCACAGTTTATAGTACTAAATTGTTTCATTGCAACATGGCCGCGACTAGCCCAGCCCTCTCTTCAAAACAGGTCACTTTCACCAGCTATATACAGATTTAAAAGTAGCTAGCAACAGCCTCTCCCAGCACGTCTAAGCGCGGCGTGATTCCTAAGCCTGGTGTGGTCGGCGCGGTGACGAAGCCATCTTGGACGTCAAACGCTCCATCCGCGGTCTTGATGGTGACCATATCCCGACTTTCCAGGATGCAACGTAAAGATCGCTCCGGGATAGTTTGGGCCAGATGCACAATCGCGGCAAATGCGATGTCCGAACCCGTCGTCTCCTGAACACTTATACTATAGCCCGCTGCCAGGCAGATGTCCCGCTGACGGCGGCCCCTGGTCAGACCACCAGATTTGGAAATCTTCAGATCAACACCTTCCGCCGCATCGTCCGCGAGAATCTGGATGACGGACATCTCATTCGTGGCGAGTTCGTCGTAGATGATCGGAATATCGGTCCTCCGTCGGAGAGACACACACTCACGCCAGGTGGCGCAAGGGGCCTCCAACACAAAATCCAGACCGTGAGGCAACAGCCTCAAGAACCGTAGAGCGGTTTCCACCGACAATCCACCGTTGGCATCCACAATGAAGAACTCATCGGGTTGCTGGTCAGCAAGAGCCGCTGCGACCCGCGCGGCGTCAAGGACAGGTTCTCCCGCGATTTTAACCGAGTGTCCTTTGTATCCCCTTGCGCGATATTTGGCAACTCGTGCGCGCATGTCTTCCGGCTCTCCGACATAAATAGAGGAGATCAATGACAATTGATTGTCGGTGCGACCACCCAGAAGCTCGCACACAGGCAGTCCGACCGACTTGCCAAAGATATCCCAGCAAGCCACGTCGATGGCTGTCTTGGCATCTTCATGCCCGAGCAATGCATCGTCCATCGCATCATTGATGCGGTCGACTCTTCGTGGGTCCAGACCGATCAGGCTTGGTGCCATTGTAGCGATACCAGCCCTGACGCCGCGGGCATGGGAAGCAATGTAGTTGGAGCCAAAGGGGGTGCTTTCTCCCCAGCCCTCAATACCAGTATCAGTGGTTATCCGTACAATGGTAGCGTCAAAGCTCCGGTACTCTCGCCCGGCAGAGAGGTAGTAGACACCGCCTGAGTAGGGCAGATCGACTTGAAAAACATCGATCCGCGCAATTTTCAAGTCTGACATCTTTGCTGAGTTGATGGAGTAAGTTGCAGCGAGGGAGAACGTAAAGCAATACGTCAGCGTGCTTGAGACAAAAACAGACCAAAATCTCTCACGTCCAACGTAAAAGTTGGGGGCAAATTTAGTTGTTATATAGTCGAGCTGTCGGGAATAAAGGCGAGAGTACCGAATGAATTGTGGCCAACCATCGGCCTGTAAAAATCATCGGAACGTAAAGCATTTCCTCTCTCGTACCTAAAAAGTAAAATCCAACGGAATGCATAGCCGAGCAGGATCGTGACCTTTCTTCGCTCACGCGCAAATGGGTGTCGGGAGTATTACCGTTTTCCTGTGCCTATGGTGCATGGGCTGGGACTCGAGATAGCCATCAGGGTTCCTGCGGGGAAGTTTCTTTTGGGTGAATTAGCCCCCTAGCAACTTGGGAAATTATAGCTGAGATGGGAATGCTCACCGGACTCGCGTGAATGAGGGGGACATATCTGCTTCCCCGCATATTGACAGCTCGAGAGGTCTGTGCCTGTGCTCAGTATGAGTTGCCGATTCTACCTATTCGAGCAGATGACACCTCCAGTGGAACATATAGTACTGAGAACCTACCGATCTTTATCCAATGGGTATTTTGGAGTACCTATCTGTTATCTCAGCCCCACGTCTCTTCACGACCTATTCAAGAGGGAAAGCGACCCTACCGCAGACTACATAGAGTATGAGAACCAACCCTCCCCCCCCCTTTAAAGGGGGTATGATGAACGTCGTGTACTGGCTCAAGTGAAGTGGCTCACTGTGTATGCTGTTTCTTTCGAAAATCAACACTATAATCTGTGTACAATTCAATTTGTTCCGAACAGTCTGCCAACCCTTTACCATTCACCCTTCATTGTTCCCACCTTCCCAACAGACATATTGCCCACCATAATAGGCGCAGATGGCCATGCGAATTAGGAAAGATGATGGGATATGATCCTTGTAGGGGACTGGTTATCGTTGAGATGAGGTCTTTCGGCACAGAAGGATCAGAGAAATTGATTGCAAGCTCACACAGCCACAGCACCATATGATAGTTGGCTCAAGCCTCTCAGCATAGTGAATGTAGCATACAGAACCACAAGGCGTGACCGACTTTTAATTTCGATGTCAACTCAGTATACAATCAGAAAACACATGTAAATCGTGGGTTGTGATCCCCCATACTGACTGTATGTGATGAGTGTGATAGTGAAGCCGATGAGCCGAAGGAATAGCACCCTTGTCTGCTACTGGGGCAAATATAAGGATATTATATTGATTATATATACATTGTAGGGTTGGTATCCGCGAACAAGGCAAGACAACGTGGTAGCGCAGTACATATGACGCTACAATTGATTAAGAACAAACCATGTTTCAGATGACAAATAAAGCCGCAAATCTATATCCATGCGCCTGCTATGGACATCGAAGCATTTTAACTTTGTAGACACTTCCAAGCAAGCAAAGGGACCCAATCACGGAGGGGGTTCCGGCAACTAGTTGGACTTATCCGCTTACATTGACAGTATATCAATGAACATACATCAGCCAAGCCTCATGGCAAGACGATCCATCACCCGTCAGGTCAACGGCAAATCTCCGATTGGGATACAGCTGCTGTTTCACCGAACTTCGGTCTTTTCAAGGTACAGAGACTGCCCCGGAGTCCCGGACGCCATAGGGACCAACTCGAGTTAGTAACTCTGGTAGTATCAATGTTTCCGCGACTCAATAGGATTGATTGTCCGAGTCCAGCTTATATGCTCTTCTGAAGATGCGGGTACATGGACCACCATTTCTTACATGCTATCAAAAATGCTGACGCGGCCAAATCTATGAGGTCACTACTACACGGAGTTTGTTACAGTCAGGAAATAAACACAGCCAATGGTCATTGGACACAATCCGCAATATAACTCCTGTGTAAATTAGATCTCATGTTACAGGGAGTTCGCAATTGCCTTGTATCTTGTTTTATTGTGAAACACGACCAAACCATGGCAGCAACAAGCGCATCCCTGGGAGTCTTTTGATTGTAGGCAGGGCTTGGCCCTACATCAGGAACGTCTGTTCGAATTGATGGAACCTCAAGACAATATCCTCTTTTGGCAAGGCGATCGCCCCGTACCCGATTTGGTATTTGGCTATACATTGAAGTCAGTCCGGTAGGATGGGAAACGCTCTGTATGGCAGTCGGTTCCTTAAAATGACATTTATCCTAGTTTAAATCTGTTGCGACGTAATCCCAATACAAAAGATTTGCATTTACAAATTGTTAGAAACGAAATAACTGACCATAGCGCAGACTTTCTAGAACGCATTAAAAATCACGCTAAAGTATACCGAGCCAGAGATAAGGGTGGGCCCTATAGTAGGTAATCTAATTCTATGGTAATGGTCTGAAGAGATTACGAATCACTATTGGGGGATGCAAACCAAAGACCTCATATACAGTACTGTCCCTGCAGATCTCTGGCATTCAAAGTGGAAGGGCCCATTGGTTAGAATTTGAATCGTGTGCGGTTCACTTGGCGTAGAATATCGGCCAATATCAACCATAAAGAGTGATTTCTACGGGTGATAAAATCAACCAAAAGGGAGATGCGAGCGGTGATCGCCAGCCCATGTCTCTACGAAGAAGCTAATATATTCATGTTTCAGGTAACCGTTGAGTTTCCGCCATAGGGATATCGTAGACAGCATTATTTTTGTCGGGATTTCGGTCAGAGTGAGGGCGATGAGCAAATAAACCGGTCCAACCGTTCTTACATAAGGCCCGAAAACCTTATATACTATACTGTAGGGCAAAGTGTTAGAAGTCAGAAAAGGACTCTGGATATTCTCGGCGGATCGTCGGAGAATTCACCCCAACCAGGGCCGCTTGTTCAGACGAGTCAGTGAAATAGATTTTGGGAAACTTCCTGATTAAACTCTTAATCAAGTTGCGGCTAGCACAAATGAACAGTTCCTCAACGGTTATAAAACGTAATCTGGATCCGTATCCGATGCTGCCGTGTCTGTGGAGACAGACGGGGGTTGCCCCGAACGGTAAGCTTAAAACACCTCAACCTTACATGTGCAGTATACCGACATAAATCACATCAGCAGTGGGATTCATGCCCTTGTCTTGCCCATGTCCTGTCCAGTTAAGCCCCACTGTGGGATTAACTTTGATTACCTGGAGTCGGACGGAACTGTCAATGATTTGGCTGAAACGCAAACCTAGCTTTGAGACATCTATACATCTGCCGTACAACTTGCCTTAAGCTATACGGAAGGGGCTACTAGTGCCCGCTGACCTATTGCATGTTCTATAATGTACCAATGACATACGAGAGAGGGAAACTGAATCCGGTGTCCCCGCTTGGATCCTCTGTGGGGGCGAGGGGGTGGTGGAATCGCTTACGAAGAACTGAAGAAGACAGACTCTACGGCTCTTCAAATAGGACAAGAACAAGATGTGAAGATGGCAGTGTCAATGGATCGTCATAAACAAGATTAATATTCCACCTCCATCATATGATGAACCTCTTCTTCTCCTAACAGACAAGGATTTTCGAGCTCTACGAACGTATAAAGGACAGGACATCTCCTAGATGTTGGAGATAAATCGGTTTATTCTATAAGTCATTCGCTCATTTTTCATAGAATAGCTGGCATATTCCCAAAAATGTTTGCCAAACTTTCGCTCCTTTCTCTTCTCCTCACCTCTACTGCCTTTGCCGCCGCCGGCCAGGGTCTGTCCTACGACAACATTGACAAATCTGCCACCCCCGGCGCCAAAGCGCTTCTGAAATATATTCAGTCTCAGTACGGATCGCACTTCATTTCCGGTCAGCAGGATGCAGGCAGCTGGGACTGGGTTAAGCAGAACATTGGCGTCTCCCCTGCGATCCTGGGTAGCGACTTCATGTATTACTCGCCTTCGGCGGTTGCTCATGGCGGCAAGTCTCACGCCGTCGAGGATGTGATCCAGCACGCAGATCGTAACGGAATCAACGCCCTGGTCTGGCATTGGTACGCACCTACTTGTCTGCTCGACAACGCCGAACAGCCGTGGTACAGCGGATTCTACACCAAGGCCACCTGCTTCAACGTTGCCGATGCCGTCAACGACCGTCGGAACGGGACCAACTATCGCCTCCTGTTGCGTGATATAGATGCCATCGCCGCCCAGATTAAGCGCCTTGATCAGGCCAATATTCCGATTCTCTTCCGTCCACTCCACGAGCCCGAGGGTGGATGGTTCTGGTGGGGTGCTCAGGGTCCTGCCCCATTCAAGAAGCTCTGGGATATGATCTACGACCGCATCACTCGCTTTCACAACCTCCACAACGTGGTCTGGGTATGCAACACCGCCGAACCTGACTGGTATCCTGGAAACGATAAGTGTGACATTGCCACCGTCGACCACTATGCCGCTGCTGGTGACCATGGCGTCCTTGGAGAGAAATACAAGAAGCTCCAGGCCGTTACCAACAACGAGAGAGTCTTGGCTCTGGCTGAAGTCGGTCCCATTCCCGATCCCACCGTCCAGGCTCGCGACAAGGTCAACTGGGCTTACTGGATGGTGTGGAACGATGAATTCATCAAGGACGGCAAGCAGAACTCTAAGCAATTCCTGCAGAACGTGTACAACAACACCCGGGTTGTTACACTCGATGGTGGCTCCAAGCTTGGCAACTGGAAGCAGGCTTAAAGCGACCTGGTGATCGATGGCGAGAGCATTTCATTCCATTTGACGTCCATGGACTGATATACTCTTCAGTGTTGTCGCTGCGGTAAAACCAACTATCAAGTTAACCTGGCTTGTCCAATCCTTTATCCATTTCTTTTAGTTGTTCTGTCCTTTGCAAGAGTGGCAGAGTCTAATAGTTTATATTCTTCTACTGGGCGCGCAGACCTTACATCAATTGAACTCCTCGAGGATCTTTTATTTGAGAAATCAATTATAGCAGAGCCCATAGTTCTTTCCTTTGATAAATTAGTAATCTGCGCATATTATAAGGATCGATTTCTTCCAATATAGCAGGTGGAAAGGTCGTAAGGGAAGAAATCCTTGATTGCTCTATATACATACGCAACAGGGCCTTCTGTACTTTAGGTACTCTCGTTGATCGTTTGCTCGTTTGCTCGTGCCCGATTGTGCTGCCAGGCCCCAGCAACTCAGTTCCTAGGCCCATCAGGCAAGGCCTGTGTCCGGACAAGGCAGGATAACGCCTCTAGGAAGTCAAAGGTCGTGACAGAGGTGAGCAAGGCTGAGGGCAAGCCAGGCAGATATCAAGGGCCAATAGCCGATGATCGTCAAATGAACTGATGAAAGGTTGGTTTGTGATCTTAAAGACAAATTGAGTCAAATCTCCCGGACATGTAGTATCCTGGATTTATCTTTGCTCAACTATTTGGCGGTAGCCTCGATTTTAAGAGACCAAGTATGGCTCTGTAGAACAACCCTTGAGTTCTTCTGAGCGTCAGGGCTCCTGCCATTTGACTGGATATTCGCAGGAGGCTAAGACCCACTCATATGAACAAATCATGCAGAACACAAGAGTCCAAAGTCTGGAATCTCCTTGCAGAAGAGTATTGACCAACCTGTTCATCTTGATCCTAATATGCTGAAGAAATGTGGTTGTCGAAACCATAAATAAAGTATTACTGGACTATTTACAACTGACGCGAGGCAGAATAGCTCTTTATTCAATGTACATACATCGGCCTCTTCGCACCCAGCTGTATTCTCTTCTTTCTTTTTATCCTATCAGATCTTCAAGAATAGAAGCAGTGCCCTCAGCAAAGGATTTGGCCCCATTGTAGCCTCGAATTCATCCATCATGTAACAAACATTTACTGCATCTGCTTTCTGGAACTTGTCGGCAATACCGATTTCCACACGCGAGGATCCACGACCACGAAATGAGACCTGAGAACCTGCCGTGGTCATGCTCGTTGAGCTACTATCAAAATCAAGAACATGGCTTTCAGGCACAGCGTCTAGCTCCAACGTTGATGTAATGTGGCCGTTCAATGCGAGCGCTGCTGGATAGCCCTGAAGGCGCCTGAGACCAGAATCTGGATTTTTGACAAGCCTGGCACGATCTTCGGCGGTTGTCGTGAACTTTGAGCGAAAATATCGCTCCGAGTGGGACATCCAATGGTTAAATCCTCCAGCCGATGTCATGACTGTGAAGACATATCCTACTAGACTAGGAGATTTAGTCAAGCTAGAGCTTTGCCAGGCACGAAATTCTTCGAGCGTTCGCTCTTCGATCTCTAAGATCTCTCGCTTAAGGATGTTCGCCGCCTCATCCTCATTGTAGCCGTAAGCGGACATAAGCAATGCCATCGCATTGCCCATCGTGTCCATATTGCCAGCTGAGCTATGTTCCTCAAATTCTTTGGGAAAGCTGTACAGATCGCTTCTTCTGAAAACCTTAGTTACTTCGAGGGTTTTAGGAAACTTACAGCACCCCATTTCTGCAGATCGTCAATAGTCAAACACTAACTCATGCGTTTTGGTCCACGACGGCAGTTTGACTGGCCCATCGCCAAGAACATGGTGTCTGACGCGACTTATATAAACTGCTTTCGTTTCGCATCTGCATAGTGTCTCTCGTTCCTAACAGTTCTATCCCTCATTGTAAACCCAAATCGCACAAAGCCCCTCATCATGCGTCTCATTCCTATCACTATCGGTCTTGCAGCAGGCGCAAATCTGGTGTCTGCTATGGCTTTCACGGCTCCTGCCCGATGCTTGACAATGAAATACACTGCTGAACAACTAGACGTTGGTCGTTGGCTTGATCTGTGGTCGAAAACTACCTGCAAACGCTGTCAGTCACCCAAGCTGTCTGATTATCACACTTTGCGGGAAAGTCACGTCCTCCCCTCTGTGAAGGAATGCGCAGACTCTATGGGGACTCCCCAGCTTTCCTCCAACTACCTGAGCCTCTTTGACAACCTCTTTGACATGGCCAAAAGCAAATGCAACGTGAATGACTCAACCGACTTGTGCGAAGACCCCGATCAACTGAAGACAGTAGCCAAGTGCGTCCAAGACAACGGCTAGTCTTTTGTCCTGAGTAACTTCGGTACTTTTCTGCCCATCCTGTTGGCAGACTCATGCGACAAGCAAATGGATTCCATTGCAAACCCGGACACTCTTGACACCATCATTCGTTCCTACTTGACCAAATACGAGGAAACCCGCCCAAAGAGTGAGTCGGCTATTCCAACCTTCATTATGAAATCGTATAGGGCAACTAACCTGTCCTCTTGTTGAAACAGTTAGTGAATAGCTCATCGCGTGAAAAGTTCCCGAAACAAACTATGCATCATTTCGATTCGAGCAGCCGTATTAAACTTTTATTCGACCTCCCCTCTTGTGACTGGGGTAGTTATCTGGTGGCTTTGTGTACTTGCCCGTCTGCCACATCTTTCTACAGGTTGACTTGTATTTCAGTTTTAATATGAGGGTGCTACTTCTAATTATCCCTATTCTCGTCCCAACAATCCCGAAGCGGTAGCAGTCTACTACTATCTCATAGACCGTATTTATCTTGATTTACTCGGTACATTGAACAACTGTACAGATCGGGGTGTACCCACCAAAGGAGTCCAAAGCATGTCATCTACTTTCCATTTGGGGGCTCGTGCATGGTGACTACTCTCCTAGTGTACCATCCTCATGATTTTATTCGCGCATAACCTAAGACGGACGTGGTTATTCTTCGCTCAAACACCATAAATTGTCGAGACCGACAAATTCTGATAGATCAAGCATAAAATATTGGACAAGGACGGTTCAACCTTCGTGTTGTTTGAGTCTTAGTCTTCTACACTCTCAGTATCAGAAGAACTAATGGTGCAATTTTTCTTACGTTTCGGTTTTGAGGATTTGTGAAAACGTCTCCAGTTTTCTAATTTGTCACATAAAGCAAACTGGACAAAATATTTGGAACCCTAAGATCCATTATAGTAGGTAAGACTATGTATGTTGTTGTGATGCGCCCCTGACAGCCTCCAGCTTGGTTTTGCTTACGGGGCGGCCTCTACTTTTGTCAGGAACTTTGCTCGCTGGTGGATTCAAAATGGTATTTAACACAGTCCACATATTGTACACACTGCTATACTGGATCTCTCGCACGTACACTTGTCATAATAAGCCTTACAGCGAGTCTGCGAAGGCAAGTTCATATGCAAATCCAAGAGTCAATCTGCCGTGTTGCAACACATGGTCAAAATTGACGGTATCAATCGTATCATCGGCCGAGTGAATGTACGGGCTGTCGTCGCCAAAGGCTGACTCGAACGCAAATGCGGCAGGATAGCCATACTTCGTGGCGGAGGCATGATCAGAGCATCCATATCCACATTTCGAATCGACGGTCGGGATAGTGCAATACTACGAGTAATCTCTGTCAGCATGGAGGGACTATCAAAGACAGGGATTGAACTTACCGCATCGACAATGACCTTTAGGAACTTGGTCAGATTCTCATCAACATTATCGATGATGATACCGATTGACTCCGGCTTTCCGGCATCAGTGGTGCCTTTAATATAACCTGTCATATCCTGCTGGAGCATGGCTTTCACATCTCGGCTTTTCTGCGAGTACTGTTCGAAGATATCCTGACTTCCCAGGAGACCTCCCTCCTCTCCGGCATAGAAGTGGAACTCAACGGTGTTCGGAGCCTCACCGGCTGCGACCTTCTCGTCCGTCAGGAGAACGCGGAAGGCTTCGAGAATGGTAACTACACCGGATCCATCGTCATCTAACCACGCGCCTCTATTAGCATTATGATGTTCTATGATGCCCTATAGACAGGACGTCTGAAAGACTCACCAGCACCCGGTGCACGGCCCTGGGAGGGCGAATTGAGGTTGATCGAGTCCTGGTGCGCTCCAAGCACAATGACCTTGTCACTCTTGCCCGGGATCTTCGCGATCAGACTCGACTGCGGGAAAGAGTGCTTGAAAGGCTCCACAGTGACTCCCTTCGCTCCGCTGGCGGAAATGATTTCCTGGATCTTGCCTTGCAGCCACTCGGATGATTTTTTACCATTGTCGCTCTTGTAATAGCGATTGTGAAACTCCGAGAACGGCTGGAGAACAGTTTCGAAGTTCTTTTTATCGAGTGACTTGATCAGGTTTTGCACAGTCTCGTTATGTTGCACGGAATCGGGATATGTAACCGCGAGCTTTTGCTTCTTGTTTGATGCGATGTCCAGACTACTAGCCCGTCCGGTTATGTCGAGAAAGCGCTTGCCCTCCTGTTTCAAGCTTATTAGCGGAATGCTGGGCGTCGAGTTTGAAAGGATTTTTCATCGTACCGCTCTCAGAGCCCATTTTTCTGCTTCCGTAACAACCTTAGTTTCTCCCGGGGCTAATTCTAGGACATAACGATCGCCCGAGCGGACATGGTCTCCAATAGCGAGGGCAGAAGCAGTAGCCGCCAAGGTTGCAATGCAGGGAAGGAAGCGCATCTTGAGGGAGCGAAAGCGTGTATCACCAAGTCGATACGAACGGGATTCTCGAATAACCGAGGAAGGATGGATATGCGGGCAAGATCCACATGACAACGAGACGGGACTCGAGATTTTATAGACTAGCGAAGCAGTCACATGGAAAGGCACGGTGTACTACTTTTGACGCCATAGAATATCCCGGGCCAAAGTATGATGCAAGATATGAGGAGCTGCTTGGCAAAACACTTGGCACCTCCCCGACCTTCCTGTAATATAAGGAAATCAGTTGTTTCTGCAGAGATCATTGTAACCTAACAAGTCATGGGATCTAGAGGAAGGGCATCGGAGGGGGTGAAGATCTACTGTCTCCAACCCTATCAGACGAGAGAGTCAGGATACATCAGGGATTCCCCGCCGGGGGTCCGTAGGGAACCCGCCCTGCCAAGCTTTATAATATCGGCACTTAGTAGAAGATCATTTCTTGGAAGAGAAATAGTCTCGAAACATAACGCGGGATTAATTTGCGTCAATGTAACCCTGGTCCCTGTCGTTGCAAGTCTGACTGACTTGGCAGTGGAATCTTCGCACCTCGTCTCGGCAGGTCTCTGACATGTTTTGCATTGGACCGTGAGCCATGTTTTGGTCAGCGATATGTTGATTGCAACCCTGAGTGCGTGCCTCAGGAACTAAGTCATGTAAAGGGCTGCCAAACTAGAAGCCGCGGCTATTTTGGGCTTCTATTAATATTAGCCTCACACAATCAATGTCCTCCACATAGTGACGGCCGGCCAATATAACGCGTCAACTCCGCAGTTTCTTTGAAACGAGAGCAATCGATGGACGAAGACATGATCCTGCGATATGGAAGTGGTGCACTCACACTTTGTTGTTTGGTGGCTTCAGGGTCGCTGTTTCCATAAACTCGCACATCACCCGGCTAGAAAGGTTTTAAGGGAACATAATAAAGCTGCGACTCAGTGGAAAACCTCAGGATAACTGAATCAAATCAACCCCAGAAGTAATCCCTGGGGGAAAAGAGCCGCTGAGACAGTTGATCAATCAATCAAGTAACCAATCATCGATCTGTGGAGAAAACTGGCCATAGGAAACAGACCAGGGATTCCTGGAGCAAGACCGCTCTCAGCTCCAGCTCGTGCGTTCGCGGACTCTAGAACTTCGTCAACAGGAGGAATAGGCTTGAATCCCCGGAGTAGATCCCACCATCCCGGAAACGCACTTCCGGTGCATAAGTGTTCCGCGGCTCAGAAGTTGTTTCCCCAAGGCTGACATGTACATCCCTGTACTCGTGGGGTTGTGAAAAGAAACACTGGATCACTGAGCATGAAATTGCCCTTGAATATTCTCCACCCGAGAGGGTGCCAACGGCTCTGGTCATGTATAAGCCGGAGCTGGGAACCTTTCTTGCTTTAAGAACCCCAAGATCGGCTCTCCGTGTTCCTCAACTTTAACACCAGTTTTGGAAGCACCTTGCGGCATATAGCTGTGAAGAAGGGTCAACTAGCGTTGGCGGAGATCTTGTTTGAGTATGGATGGAAGTATCAATGGAATAAAGCAGGAGCAGCTCGGTAATCATGTCTCCTTGATACCCCTCTACAGATGTTTGTTAAATCCACTGATAGATCACTGCTTGATTTCCAACTACATCTTTGTTATTCGTTCGATCAAAGCATATCGGGACCAGGCCCAAGAGAGGGTGTAGCCGGAAATAAGCCAGCCAGGGCAGTGTTAGCAGTATCACGCAACAGTTATACCATTGCTCAGAAGATTAGCATTAACAAAGCACTTGAACGAGCAAGGAGAAGGGGGTGAGAGAACGAGAGACGATCGAAATACATGATGGAAGCCTGCGGGCAGCAGGCATCAAGGCAGCACGCTTGTGAATGGCCATAGCCCGAAAGCTGTACCTTTGGGCCTAGCTGCTTGGGTCAGTCTCCCCACCACAGCAGAAGGAGTATATAAGGTGGCGGTGTGAAGGGTGCCCGCGTTAGTGGTGTCGATCAGTAGTTGACCATCGGGAGCTGTCGGGAGCTATGGAGATCGGCATTATCCTGACTGGTCATGTATGTACCTTTCCGCCGTGGCTACCTGAGATCTACAATCATAAGGTTTGATAGTTTACTTCTGCATATACCTCTTCTGTATTTACAAACACAATAGGCTTTGAAGATTGAGCTGAAAGAACACGTGCTATCAGGCAGAAGTGGTGATAGGTTCATATCAACATGAATATAGTATGAACAGGACATGCAATTGGTGGTCATTATTGCTACAATTTCCGAGCCACGAAACAATACTGCGCTGCCTCGTCCGAATCGGCCTCTTCTGGCGGCACAAAAAGCTCCATCTTTTCATCCAAGACCTCAAGACCGTTGACTTGCAAGAGATGTTCCCAACCCGTGCGAGAAAAGAGGACACAGTGCTCGTCATTACCCATGAATCGTCGTTTGACCCTTGCACAATGACCATCGCTCTCGTAGTGTTCGATCTTGGCAGGGTTATAGTCATCGGCGGCCAGGACAACCACGCATAGGAGACCCTGTGGTTTCAGCCACTTTGCCCAGTTCCCAACGCACGTTTCAATTTCAGCCCGAGTTTCCCGGAAAAGAGCGCGAACATTGAAAATGGCGTCCAGGTCCTGGCTTCCGATGGGACGCTCATAGGTACACATGTCCGCGATATGGAATTTGCCGCTAGGCACATTTTTCCGACTGAAGTCAATCATCGTGGGTGATTTGTCAATGCCTTCGACCTGATGCCCCGCGGCTGCTAAGCACATGTCCAGAGGCTTCCCCGTTCCGCAGCCAACATCCAGAATACGGGAGTGTGGTTCCAGGTAGGCCAGAGCTCGTTGGATAAACCCGAGAAGAACATGGTCGTTGGCGTAGGCATCTTGGTATGCATCCACAATTGGCTGGTAATAGTCTGGCTCACCCATTGTTTAGGTATATGCCTTCGGAGAGTCGACTTGATGATTTAGACAAGCGACGGATTGAGCTTCTTGTGGGTATTTTTGGTCGTAATCCTTTTGCGTTTCTCTGGTTCTCCGAGTGATAATACCACGTGGGCAGCTAGAAGTTGAAAACTTTCAAGTCATCAGAAAATAGAAGAGGCGGTCTATTTAAGAGATTCGAGGACCGTGCTCAAGTTCATATTCCAACAGAACTAGTCACATCGAATGGTTCAGTCTAGCTGACCGCATTTTCCGTAAATGAATCGTGATAATCACCAAGAAAAGGGTGACGCATGAGATCGCTCCGCAATTCTGATACATCAATTTTGACCCATCATGAGCTGACTGAGCATTGGCTTAGGTGATGTCTACAGTGGGGAAGCCATGGATCGAATTCATACCCTCTGCTGCAATGCATTGTCAAATGCTGCTACGACCTGGACGTGATTAATGCACGCACACCTCGGCAGGCAACCTGCAAATCTACTAGTATTGACGCCAAGATTTCATGGTGGGGCAGCGCTGCAGAAACTCTACCCTTTGAACCGACAAATATCAAATGCACCATGATTTTGAAAGTCAATAGGATTGGTGTCACGCTCAGACCATGAACTAGATGTATCTAAACTTTTTCTGCCTTCTGCGAGGGCTAGTGCCCCACACTGGAGGGCGTGAAACATCATGGCAAGAATATATTGGCACATTAAGGTCGCTTTCTGAGAATAGTCATACAAGTGGGTTTAACGTCCTCAATTACAAGGCAAAGGCTTGCAAGAAGTAGTTGCTCAACAGCTGCCCAAAAGCATCAGTCCAGATGATATCGGACCTATTAGCTTTCTTAACCAGAGTGAGTAAGCATCCACGAGCGGTTACCTCGCAATTGAATCAGTAACTGACGAGAAGTTTGTATTAGGGGTATGTCAATCCTGCCTGCTCATGTCGGCAACAACAAAAAAGAAAATTAGAAAGAAAGACAGAAACACTGACATAAGTCATGATAGATTTGGCAGGCATGTGCCCGCCGCTGGTAATCAGGAATACGTCTCCTGGCTTGCCAATCTGCTTGGGGAGGTAGAGAGGAACCCCCAAGATCTGCACCCTGTGTTGGGTGAATTCGAGCGCCTCATTGAAACCAATCCACGTATCTATATGCTCCTCCAGTCCATGCTCCAGGAAGCCCAGGAATGTAGGCTTGGCATAGAGCAGAATGTGGAGATTCATGACTACCATAAGTTGCTACGGGTCCTCAACTACATCATTACGCATGCACCCCCTTGGACTGATGACCATCCCGGTGTGCCGATGCTTGTCCTCCTTCAATCCTCTATGCCAACTGTCAGTGGCTACGCCTTTTTCCAGGATCCTGAGGTGAACAAGCTCATCAAGAAGACTCTGAATGCTTGGGCTGATTTCCTGTCTTCACCGGAATCGGCTGGTGTGCTCAATACTTCTATAGCTGGTTGGTTCAGCACAGGAGGCCTTCGGAGGTTGACTGACACAGCAAACATCGGCGGCGAGGGCTTTAAATTCGAGGAGCTGTATATCTGTAACCCCGATGCTCCACACTATGGTTTCAAGTCCTGGGATGACTTTTTCACGCGCAGATTCAGAGAGGGTGTTCGACCAGTTGCCTTTCCCGATGATGATAGTGTCATCGTCAACCCTTGCGAGTCGCAGCCCTTTGCTGTTGCGAGGCAGGTCAAAGCCCGTGACTCATTCTGGATCAAAGGAAAGACGTACTCGTTGTCTGATATGCTTGGAAATACCTTTGTGACGCCCTTCCTTGATGGGACGGTCTACCAAGGTTATCTGGATACTTTCAGCTATCACCGATGGCACTCACCTGTTTCAGGCAAGGTTGTTAAGTCTTACGTACTGGATGGCACGTATTTTTCCACCCCGGAAGCTTTGAATGTCAACCCGCCGAATAAGGATCCCGGAAATGAGATCCTTTACCAAGGATACCTGGCGGCCATGGCAACACGCGCTGTGATACTTATTGAAGCAGAGAACCCAGAAATTGGACTGATGGCATTTCTAGCCATTGGTATGGCTGAGATATCCACTTGTGAGATCTCTGTGTGCGAAGGGGATTGTTTGAGCAAGGGTGATGAGCTCGGTATGTTCCATTATGGGGGTTCATCGTATTGTTTGATCTTCCAAAAGGGTGTCAATGTCATGTCGTTTCCAGAAGTTGGAGGGGAAAAGAATATACCCGTTCGGGGTCAGTTGGCAACTGTGACGCCAATGGAGGTGGACGGTTTCCAAGTTGTATGATGCCCAAGTGCATCATTGGAAGTTTCTCTAAGATTTTCCCCTACTATAGCTCTATAGGTACCATCAGGCCATTCGACAAACTATCGTTGCCTTCTAAATATGAATATGTGAAATATGGATAGGTGTTTAATGTCTACGATAACAGCCAGTTCGTCCAGTCAGTGTTTCATGGTGCTTATTGCTAAGACGCAACCACCTTGTCTCGGGCTTTTTTTTCTTTTTTTTTTTTTTTTTTGTGGACAGGAAGTACAGAATCTCCTTGAACTGGGGTGTGTACGAATTCCCAGCTAGGTACTTGGTCAGTATGAACTACTAGTCTTCACTCGTCTCATCCGAATCTCGCGTTGCCTTACGTTCCTCTTCACCGGGATTTCCTTTCCACAATATGCATAAGATCGTCATCCTGCGGGAGCCGGGATATGTATCTGTATGTACTATTTACTCCCGAGAATATAATATTGCCGAGCTGAAAGATTTTGGACCTCTCACGAGAAGTCTACAGATCTGGGCGTGGCGGGCTGAGGCAAGCCCCATAGCCCATACATGTGTGCATGGATTCGGGCCCGTCTCTAGCCCTGATTGGACAGGCCTATGGTGAATCTCAGGATGCATGCATGCAAGCGAGGCTCATGCAGGAATATGGATGGGCCAAGTGGAGGGTCAATCCAACTGGCATTTTCTAACGTAATAGAAACTGGCTCTAGGCTCTCACGGATGCTTTTGGCGTAATAATTCTTTGCCCTGGCTTTATGCTATACTCACAAGTAAATTTGATTTATATAAAACTAACTTTCGCAGCTTGCTAAATCTACCCGTTAGTAGAAGAACAATTGCTCTATGCGTGTGATGATGGAAGATTCAGGCACAATCCCACAGCAATGGATGCCTCCCACTGCGCCCCAGGCATTGCCTCTAAGATAAAAGCAACGTCTACCCATTGGATAAACCTCATGTGAGAAGCGTAATGCGTCACAGCGGCGGTTATCCGAACGTCTTCAGTATTGCCCTATCTTCCATGACCCTCAGGTTGCTGAATACTTCTATAACGTTCTTAATGTGTGCAAGGGCTCCAGCTTCAGCACGAAATTTACCCTAGTCATTCCGTCTGTTCAGTTGGCGAACTATAGGAATCGAGAGAAGGCGCCGAAGTATGGAGTTCCGCAACATATTCTCCGCGTGAGTGTTGGTTTTGAGGATACTGATAAACTCATCGAGACTTTCGAAGAGGCCCTCAAGAAGGTGGAATTGCTGAAGCCTAAGAGTCGCTGTCCCGAATGCGCGTCGTAATTGCTTTTTCCATGAAAGGGAGCGTGGGCGTAGTAATGGAGTCCTAATAGGAGAAAATGAACCACAATTTAGCACATATAGCTGATTTCTTTGCTTGTGACGTTAGTACACTCGACACCACAATAGCCCATCATGAAAACTCTCTCCTGGTACATGAACTATTAGAACGGAATCCATAAGTGGCCGTACCAGCATGGCACCCAAACATGTCCCGTCAAAGCATGAGCTTCTTTATGACATGGCTCACAGTGTAGAACTATCTATGTTGCCCATGGAAGAGGCTTCCGGCTACAACTGGAGTATCGTCCTAAGGATCTCTTCATATATATAGATTTTTTGGCAGAGTCAAGCACCACTTAACGAAGGTGGCCAACCGCGAAGTATACCTCCATTCATAGTAGGAGCCCTCTCCAGGGGGGTCGCTGGTATTCGGCAACTACCAGTCATTTGCATAGCTCGGATTGGTTGAGGTTGCCCGTGAATACTGGCCCAGAAATCGACCACTCTTGAGCCTCATAATGTTCAAAGTCCAAGTCAAGTAACCCACAGTAATCATTAGAGCAAAATAACTTGCGGTAATAACAAAAGCGTAACGGACATCGAATGCGAAGGATGATATCTTAGAGCCATAACTGATTGTTTGTTTTCATAAAAAGAACGCAAGGCGAGTACTACTTTTTCAACATTTCTGATGCTTAACCATCCAGTCCGGGACACTGCTCACTCGTGGTCTCCGTGATCTTTGTGTATGGCGAAGGATCAGTCCAAATCAAGTCGAATCTATCATCAGACGTCAGTAGACTATCACTATTTAGGCTGCACGCTGAAAAGAATCCGACTTATGATGATTTCGATTCGAAATGGGAAAGGGCAAGGAAAAAGGCTTCAGCACCTGTCACTTGGATACTCCGGCGCATCATCGGCTCCGAGCTTCTTCACAATATCTGTAAGCGCCTCATGCTGCCAGCAGATCAAGATATTCCCATCCCCTTTGTAATTTTCGATGGCCTTCTTCACACATTTGGGGTCGTCGCGGTCGCAAGAAGTATCCACAGTAAGACCCAAATCCTCGGCCAAGGGAAGAACTGTCTCATACGGACGGACCCGCTTGCCGCCTGTAGCAGTCATTGTTAGCGATTTAGACCTGTCAGGAACGACTGGTCGCCTGTTGTCGAACATACTCTTCTTGGGGGTTTGTGCCATTATATAGCCAATGTTGTACTTCGAATCCTTGCCAAAGACGGATCGGAGACATTGAGCGCGTTGGACCCCCTGAGCGCTGAGACCGTTGCCGCCATCATCTGGCTTCTCTCCATGTCGGATAAGGTACACGGTAGGCGACGCCATGACGGTCGCAGCAGCTGCTAGAAGATAGTAGGGCAGAAGCATCTTGAGCACTGACGATGGTAATAGTTCGGCCCATTCCCAGGCACACGGGCTAGCTGGCCTTGTATTTATAACGAACCGAGGACACTAATCTATCGCTCCCGGCGGCAACACAATGGTGCTTACTCGCATTAGGGCTGACTAGAGGTTGCTAAGTGGTTCCTCGCCAGCTTCCTAGCTTCGGTTCTATGCGTTTCAGATCCCCACATCGGGGCACTTGGGGTATATGACACTGTGATTGGCCCACCCAGCAGAGACTCCAGGGGACACGTGGTGAAATGAAGAAGTAATGGTGGTTGAAATTCTCTTGCCCCATACAATCGGACTCTTCTTTGGCCCCGCGACGGGACGGAGAAGCAAGCGAAGCCGACCCAGTTTTTATAAGGAGCAGCTTGTCCGTCAGCTTGGGGTCACATGGTGCTGACAGGTCGGTTCCAGGGAACATACAGTATCTTGGAATGGAGTCTGACGGTATTCACTGAAAACGCGGTAGTTCCATTGTGTATTTCTCCTTGAATTCTTGGTCGGAGTTTTTGCTATGACAAGAGTATACCTCGTAGTAGGAGTAGTAGCGGTAGGAGCAGTAGCAGTAGGAGTAGTAGTATGTACGTACTCCGTAATGTGACAATTGGTACTAATCATCTGACAAGAGGTTAAACCTAACTAAGCCTAACTAGGAGTTTCCGCCTTCCCTTCCAGGTTTAGTCCTAATTCTTCCCGAAGTGGAACAGCTACGGGAGCTTCAACCGAAAAGGGCTTCTTCATATTCATATTCATTCTAGACACAAAAGAGTCCCCTCTCAACGTGGGGCTTCAGCTATCAGGGCTTGCAACTCCGCTGCATTATTAAATCGTTTAGGGTTTCTCTGCGATGACTTACCCGCCCGAATCGCGCCGTGAAACCTCCCCGTCTTAACCTCCGACCGGTCAACCAATCCACTCCTCCCACCTCCAGATCAACTACGGACAATGTCATCGGTAGAGAAAAAGCGGCTACGCGACCGACGCGCACAGCAGAACCTTCGCAGCAAGCGCTCACAACAGATGGCCGTGCTCGAGAAAGAAGTTGCTCATTGTCGGGAACACCATGACGATCAAGGCATACAGCGCCTCCTGCAAGTCATTACCGGTCTCCGGAAGCAGAATGAAGCTCTTCGGTCACGCCAGGAACACTTAAAGTGCCTCGTCAACTCCTGGGATACAAATCCAGCTGAAATTCCGGCCAATGCGCATGAACCTTCCGATCAACGTGTACTAGGATTGATCGCAATTCCTGAAGAGCCCATGAACAACACTGATTCGGCTTCGAATCGGATCCAATCGAGCAGAAATCATACCCCACGCGATGATACAAGCCCATCCTCACTTCTGATCAGTGACTCGAGCTATGGGCAAACCTCTTTCACACAGACTCTCCCCATAGAACTCCCAGCGGTGGACACCAGTCTCGCCTGGAAACAACTTCCTAGGCACGACGACGACTTTTTGCACCCGCAAACCATTTCCTGTCCTTGGTTTGAATGCCCGGAGCGCATAGCCCTATGTCCCGAATCCCCTTCCTCTCCACTAGACTTACTGTATGGCACAAGGACAAACTATCTCGCGGACATGATTTACAAAGCCACACAGAGACGCCCGATCCGTGACCCCGAACGCCTAGCGGTCGGGTGGCTATGCTACCATCTAACACGATGGATCGTATCGCCCAGCCCGACCACGTACGCAAATATCCCACCCTTTCTGCGCCCGGTCCCCGATCAGCTCCAGATTACACATCCCATGGTACTCGACAATATACCCTGGCCGCAAATCCGAGTGAATCTGATCCGACATTGGGATATGTTCCGCGATCGGCGCGACGACCTTTTTGGATTGTTCTCATGTTGTGTCAAGGTTCGGTGGCCCTGGGGTGAGAGCATCCTCGAGCGGAACTCGCACAACGAGCTGTGTATAAAAGAGAAATTTTTCGAAACATTTCTGAGCGAAGCGGGATGGGGTCTTACACCTGAGTTTATGCAAAGATATCCTCAACTGCTTACCGGAGTTGATCTTGGGGCTATCACTTATGAACTCGTGGACAAAGAATTTTATCAGGGTGAAAAATGATTTGGTTCTCTAATTGCTGTTGAAAGGAAACGGGTCGCAAGTATATACAGATCTATGCTTATTATGTATCCACCAGCTTTGGGACTCGATGTGTATGCGTGGGCTGGCAGCCGTGTGATTCTCATGAGAACCAAACCCGCATCAAGCATTCCCCTAGTCGAAATTTACGGGGTATTTCTCTCTGATACGTTTGCCCCATTTGGTAAACACGATAGGGATCGGAACGAAGGCCAACGCCAAAAACCCGAGGAGGGAATTCCCCCAGCCAAGGCCGAGCGCTTCGAACATCGACGGACCGGCCAAAGGAAGCAATGCGCCCACGAGGGAACGCGTCGCCGTTAAAGTTGCGTTCGCTGATGCGGCGTAGGCGGGATATGAATCGATGATGTACGTCTGGATGGGAAGATAAACACCCATCATACCGATCCCAAATGGCGCCATTCCAATAATGGGTACAATCCAGTGGACATGCTTGTCGGCCGTCCAGCCATACCAGAAGAAGCTGATAGGCAGAATACACGAGAAGATGATCATCAGGGGGAGTCGCATCTCCGGTTCAGTCTTGCCTCCGTTCCGAGCAGCCAGTTTTACCATGATCCGGTCATTCGTGCCCGCCACAAAGACAAGACCAAGCATAAAACCGACCCCGATACCCAAATAGGCCAACCCAGACAGGCCGGTTGAGAACTCATACTGTCCCGTGAAGACGCTCGAAATGGTGGTGAAGAAAAGATAGAGAAGGCCATAGACGAGGGACATATACGTCGACAGCAGCAAGACAATTGGTGACTTGACTAACAGCAACATAGGCCGCACGAGACTTTGTTTCAGCAGCTCGCCCGATAAGACTTGCCCTCTCTTAAAGTCGTAGGCACTGCGCAGGTCTGTTCGCTCCAGCTCCTTGGACAGCTTGGCGGTTTTCCAGCGGATGATGACCGGGGCGTACGTCTCCCGATTGAGGATCTCAATTCCCAATGACATGGCGCCGCCCACAATTAACAGCACCCAAAACACCCACCGCCAGCCGACTTCTTCACCGAGAAAACCTCCGGCGATGGGACCAGCGACCGGACCGATCAGAGGTCCGACCCCCCAAATGGAGGTTGCCTTTCCACGTTGCTGGGGCTCAAAGAGATCCGCGATCACCCCCGCACCCAACGTAAGGCATGCGGATCCTCCGATCCCTGCGAAGAGTCGAAACACGATTAACGATGCAATATTCGGGGCGAGCGCACATCCGATTTGCCAGACGACGAAGAACCAGTTCGATATGCTGAGTACGATTCGTCGGCCGTAGATCTCACTGAGCGGAGCTAGGATTAGGGGACCGAACTGTGAGGCATCATATCTCGTCAGCCACGAACCCCCTTGATCGTGCCATCAGACACGCACACAGAAGAACCATACCACATAGCCCAGCAGGTAGATGCTGACAGTAAAGGAGATGATCGTTTCGTCGGTTTCGTTGAAGTCGGCAGCCATATAGCTGACGGCCGGAGAGAACATGCTCGATGCCAGCGGACTAACGAAGGTAAAGGCGCTGATGAGTGCTAGTAAAGCCCATTTTTTGCCGGGGGCGAAGTTTAATGGATTCGCCGGGTCGTCCTGTCCTTCCCATCCCACAATTCCGCGGTCGAGGTCCGTTTCGGGGTAGAGATGAGATGTTTCTGCCGTCTGTGTCTTGCCCTGCTCCAGGTCTGGCTGTTCAGATCCGGGCTCCTTCTCCGTCATCGTTGTGGCGCTTGTGTTTGATTCCTTATAGTCGGTGGGTTCCATGGTAGAGACGAGGTATCTTACCTCGATCGAGCCATGCACGTAGTCAGGGGTTAGGTGTAAGCAAGGTAATGAATAGGTAGACAGGCCGTGCTATGAGAGATTAGTAGACATCGGAAATGGAAAGAAACGAGTGACTGGTTTTTAAAGGAGCAGGCCCAAAAAAAAAAAAAAAACAAAAAAAAAAGAAAAAAGTATTTGGGCTGGGCTGTCAGTATCGGTTCGGAACCCAAGAGCCGATATGATATATGAAAAACATCTTAAAACTGATTTCCAGTCCGTGGAGCTCTACTTGTGCTTATACCATGCAAGCCTTCATAACTCCTCGTGTCAACCAAGACGTGATATCGGATCAAAGGCGTGACCGTCGTCTAGATCCCGCGAGTCTTGGCCGATATTGGTATCCGCTGAGCTCCCTGTTGAGTCTCTCAACGAGTAGTCTGTCTATCACGAAAGTTCAATAGGTTTGTAGTCTATTTGTTTGTTTAAAGGTACAAATTCGGTGCATTCCAGCTCAAGTTTCCGAGGGAGATTACCCAAGGACAGCCCCGATCTGCATATCCTGCATAAGATATCGAACAGGTAGAGAGAGATTGACGCACATGACGTGACTAGCGGACACAGTACCACAATGTGTTCCCCTATAGAAAAACCCACAACCACGTTGACTTACCCCGAATCCGTGGCAAAGAAGCAGAAACGGAGCTTCATTTGCCATTTCGTGACGACTCGCACTGACTCAGTGTCCCCACTACATGCCGAGAATGCCCAATCATGGCCGATCGTCGTGTAGCGCTGAATCATTGCCGTTGGGGGATGGACCCATCGCGATAGCCCTATTGTCACAGCTGGTCCATAATGCCCGTCAATCACGCACAAGAACCGATACATATCATTTTATGCGGAATCGGATGACCGTCATAGAGTTGTGTCCGTGCATGGGATGTACTCGGATGGACCGATATAACATGATTGCCGTAGCACCCCTTCGGCAGCTCAACCGCATGAAAACCCGTCGGTCGTTTCCCGCTGAGAGAACGAGATGCCTGCCGATCCTTTCTCTGTTCAGTACATGTAGATTGTCCACTCGATTGAAACCGCCAAATGGTCGTGCGTTGCTCTTGTCGTATAAGGTAAGACGTATCTATCGTACAACAGATACCTCACAAAGTGCTTCCAATTCTTCGTAAAGCAAGAAGAATATGAAAAAGGGGAAGAGAGTTGAAATCATAGAGCAAATTAATCGGCCCCCATCATCACGTCGACATGATTCGATACGCGGTCTTAGGTATCAGAGAGCACTCGAGAGAAGATTCATAGGGCATGACGACTAAGGAGAATATAGTAGTTAGTTTGCACGTGCTTCCGGGTTGATCTGATTTACTAAGAGGAGTGGATTTTAGGAACGAGCATTCGACTGTCAATACATCACTCCGCAATCCATCTAGGGACAGTGACTTTATTAACTGGCCAACGATAATACTAGGATGCCGATGCTATGGCCCGTTACCGATATTAGTACGTTCTGCGGTGCGCCTAGGTAAGGGATCAACAGAGCCCTTCTCAAGGACTGTATTTAATTAGATCGTTCCGATTTATTAACTAACAACATATTTATAATCAGGACCATTGGTCAAGCCTCCTACGAGCTGTACATCATTATCAATATCACATGGAGATAGAAAGTCGTGAACGCCGCATAATGCTATGGAAAGAAAAAGTAATGCCCTCGCTCTCCTGCAGAAGAATCCGTGCGTCATTTCTGGGCAAACCTCAACTCATTCTTTCCAAAATCATGCACGGCGATAACATTCTTATAGAAGGGCGCTCCTAAGACGTATACCACGATGTATTTCATCCCCACCTTCTCTGCTGGCAACAACCCCGAGACACAGACACCCTCGCCAACATCGTAGATTAGATCTTCCGCGGCATGGTAAAATGTCTGGTTCCCGATCGTCACACCGAACTCAGGCGCCTTCGCGTCACAATCGACCACATAAACCTTCAGCTGGTCGTTCCAGACGCCTGGGGGCGAGAACTGTTTATTCACCGGGTCCACGACCGCCTCGGGAAGGATAGAGAAGTCATTTCCTGTGTCCACGAATACCTGCCATGGGTTATTGTCAGTCTTGAGAGCAGCTTCCTCTTCTCCCGACGACCCATATTTCACGCCCGAGACGTTGAAAGCCCAATAGGCCCTCTGTTGCCTTCCCGATGTGAATTCAGCCGGAATGTTCTTCAGGACTTCCACTGGAACGGTGCTGAAGTCCGACTTAGGCTCCACCGGCGGCAGATCACCCAGGGTGAGATAGCCTCCAAATGTGGCGATGCTATCCCGCGCGGTATGCGCCAGTGCAATACTGAAGTACGGCTCCACCAGGCCGTGTTCAAACATGGCGTTGAACACCGGGCTATACACCGCCCGGTTGTAGAAGTACGTGTCATTGGGGACGGACGTGCCCGGATGAGCCGACGTCAAGCTGGGATAGCCAAGGCCCAGGACCCCATTGCTGATCCCTTCTCGACCCATCGGCTCAGAAACGTCTGCGATTGCCAGTTTGGCGCGCACTGAGACTCCTGCAATCGTAATGTCTTCGTAGGCCATGACGCCACTTGCAAGACCGGCGCCATACTCAATTCCGAACATTTCGTTGGGAACCTGCTGGTAGCTCGACGAGGGGGCGTACGTCTCTGGACCGTATTTACAGTCCGCCTGGGGGATAGTCAGGTTGCTGGTGGCATTGATGCAGGTAAAGCCGTCTCCCATAATATAGAGATCACTGCTTCCTGTGTCCACCAGGAGCTTGAAGGTTTGGTTGTTGGCGCCCACAACAACGTCGACATCGAAATTGTGCCCGCCCCCGGTTGCGAGGAGGGAGGCAGTGTGGGCCAAGGCGTCATTAGACCGTTTGCTTCGGTTTAAGGGGATAGTGAGAGCTGAGCTAAGAGTCAGGAAATGGAGCACTGACGATAGCTGAAGGAGCTTCATCTTGATGGTAGGAGTAAAGACGGGAACGATGATTGTCTCTAGGATCATTCGACTGGGCGGTCCCCTGGCTGGAATTTATAAACTTGGGCAGGGAAGCAACAGATTGACTGAGCTCGGTGGACCAGGCCCAGCACTCAACTCCAGTCGATCTTCTTTGTTGACGTCCAGTGGCGCTATCTTTGACGTTGTCCACACAAGGCTGATCCACACAGTAGGGCTGGCTCAGCTGGCGCCAAGTCCCAGGGTATACCTAGTAATTTCCTGCCGGTTTGTTTCCGACGGCCTGTTCTAACAAAGAGAAAATCGAAAGTCGGGGAGTGCTCCAATATTAAAGACCAGGATTATCTGCCGCATTAAATGGTATGATGCAACGTTTAAGTGTTCCCAACCTCCCCTGCGAGGGGTTACAGCCAATCGTGCCGTTGATCCCGTGGGATTTAAATTGCGTCGAGGTGGCAGGAGGCATAACCGCGACTTCGGCCCACTATCTCCTCCGATGAATACTAATTCATTTCGCTTTGCTCAGCAACAGTAGCGATCGCTATCCTGTGGTCGTCTCATACGGCGTATGAGGCTCTCTTCGAGGCCTCCTGGCAACACCCGTGCTGAGTGCTCAAGTCTCACGGTTGGGACTGTGGTCGATCCCTGTTCATTAAGACTTAAACCCCGCTGAATCCCAGTGGGGCACTCCAAGCACTATCTCCCTAGACAACGGATAAATCCAACGCGAGGGATTTTAGTTCCTCTGTTAGGGCTATCAGATTATGAACGTCGCGGCCAATGACGGAGGGATCCGAATGTTGGTGCTGTCACGTGGCCTCAGGCTACCTCTTTTAGACGCGAGTCGGTGGATAAATTGTCAATTTTTCGATCAGTCTAGTCTACTACTACTTGGCCAGGTAGTATGTACAGAAGTGCCCAATTGCTCCTCGCCACAGCTTCCACGGCGATGCTCCGTTAGTTCCGGGGGTAAAAAAAAAAAAAAAAAAAAAGGGGATAAAAAAAAAAAAAAAAAAAAAAAAAAAGAAATTCGCTCAAATTACAAGGATAGGACACTGCCACGAAATGAACATGGTTCCAAGAAACGGAGGAGAAAGAAAGAAACAAAGAAAAACATATTGAGGTTTAGAATGAAACCCCAATTGTTGGCTCGGCGGACTCCGTTGACTCCTTTGACTGCATTCGTGCCGTGGGATCCAACAAGACCGCATTTTGCTGGTCTGGTCGATAGGGAGCTTCGGTCTTAGCCACGAACATGGTATTCGTGGCCAGGCCATGGTGGAAGAAGCGGAATGCCTTTCGATATCTGGTCAGACGGCGCGTCCGATATGCGTGGTATTCACCATCCTCAAGCATAGCGTAGAGATACCGGGGGTGCACCACGATGGCCTGCGCGCCCTTCTGTCCAAAGCCGAAGGATGTCACCGAGAAGGCCTTCAATCCCTTGGTTTGGATGCTGCGGTTAGGGTAGAGAATGTATTCGTTATTTTCCAGCTTCCCATCAACGTTGTCCAGGTTGCGGTTGCCGGGAATGAGGCCTGTGTCCAGCACTTGGAGGCCACCGTTCAGCATCCATGCTCCTGCGGCACCCTTGGGATGACCCGTAAGATACTTCTGGGAGATAGCGTACAGGGGATTCCCAGGTACACGGCCGAGGTGTCGCATTTGGGCTTCGAGCACTGAGGCTTCGTTCTTGTCGTTCATGACGGTGCTAGTGCCATGCAAGGAAACGAAATCCAGATCATCTAGTAGGTGGTCAGCTCAATGATATGTAAACATGTAATGCAGAAAGAGAGGCATGACGAACCGATAGTCAGACCAAAGACGGCCAAAGAACCCCGAACAGGAGAAATAGCGGACTCATTCTTCCAGAACTCATTACCAAATGTGTTCAAGGCTTCCTTGCGCTGGCGTTCGGCTTCGCCTTCGACGAAGCGCTTATGGTTCTGGAGCTCTTCCTGGAGTTCCTCCGGAACCTCTCCATCTTGAGTCATTTGCTCCTCAAGCATCTGTACCTCGAGGTCAACCGATTCTTTGATTTGATTCAACCGTGCCTCAAGACGGCGCTTGCGGTAACGAATATCAAGCAGTGGCGATGGGAATCGACTGTTGGGCTTCTCGCGTGCGTTCGTCAGGATGCCTTGTCCCGGTGCAGGCACCGACCGGCTTGTCTTGTCACTCGCAGTTCCCACCCAGGCGACAATGCCATGAATCGGCAGGCCCAGGTCGAGGGCCAGACGGGCCGAGGTGATAACCTGAACACCACTGCCCTGAGACTCGACAAAACCGCTTCGGCTCTCTGCAGCGGGCCGCGACATCTCCTGCGGGAGCCTACCCTTCTTGGCCTCTTCCTCGGGGTTGGTAGTGGCTTTCATATTGGCGAACTCCTCCGCTACCGCCTGTGTCATGTCATCGTATCCACCGACAAGACAGATTTTGGCACGTCCAGTGACGATGGTCTCAAATCCGGTTTCCAAAGACTCAATCGAAGTGGCACAAGCACCAACCGACGTGCGGATGGGGCCAGCGGAGGAGATCAGCAGCATATTAACCCAGGCAGCGGTGGTGTTAATAAAGGTTTCCTGAAGAATGTCCTTCTGCACATCCTTATCCAGGTACCGATCCCGGAACATCTTCTTCAACGAGTGCACACCACCAAGACCTGAGCCAATACAGTTGCCGAATTCGGAGAGATGGATGTACTGGTATAGTTCGTAGGGGTCGGTGATTCCCGAGGCCACAAGCGCCTCCATGGTGCTGACCAAGGTGAACAGAGTTCCACGGTCAACCTGGGCGACAATGTCGTCCGGTATGCCGTAGGCGCGTGCATCCCAGCCGGTAGGGACCTGTCCCGCAACCGCATGCTGGTACTGCAGAGCCTTGGGGATCATCAACACCACGCCCTTCTTTAGGTTGACGACACACTGTTCACCCTGCGGCGAGATATCAACCAGATTCTCCCCATGCTCATTGATGAGCTGCTCTGCCACCTCGGGAGAGACTTCAAAGGGCGGTAAATCTTCCTCGAGCACGACCTCTTGCAGGAGCCGTCTCTTGCCGGGTGGCTCGCTAGGATCCAGGTCGGGCTCCACCAGCCGGATTCCTGTATGGTTGAGGATATGCTCTTCATACCGAGCTTTGACGTCCATGTCCTGCACGGGTTTCTTTGTCTTGGCGTCCACCCAGCCGGTGAAGTGTTTCCCGTCCAGCGGGCCGTCATGGTGCTTGATGAGGCCCATAATCCATGCCATTTCAATACACCCTTCCAAGGACAGCCGCCCAGTAGCCTCCATCTGCCAGCGAGTCCGAGAGTTGCCGTACGGGCCAACCTCCGAAAAGCCGGTGACCACCACGATGCGCTCCAAGTCTGCCATGCCCATCAATGTGGCTCGCAGGGGGTCGACTTCGGTCTTCGCATCGGGCAGCGCGGGGAATGAGAACCGAATATTTGCCAGACGCGTTCGTGCTCCCTTCTCTTGCATCGTTGGAGAACTACAGGTAGTGAGCTTCTGCTCAGCAGCTTGCTCCCGTGCGAGGACGGTGCGCATAGCACTCTTATCGACAATCTCGCGTCGAACCTTGTCCAAGGTGGCCCTCAGATTCGGAATCGTATTCAGGCCGCCGGTCAGATCGGCATACAGTGGCTGTACGTTGCATTGGTTGGCAAGCTTCCGAGTCATAAGCACCAAGATGTACGCCCCCATCTCGGCGGTGGAGAAAGTCTGCACGCCATGACGCTCAATCCCTGCCGCGACAATGTTGTTATCGGCCATCAGACCGGTACCACGCGTCCAACCAATGACCGCACCGCAGATCGACAGGTATGTGGACCAGCTCTCCGAGTGCCATTTCTCAAACAAGGACTCGAGGGCAATCTTCGACTCACCGTACAGACCATCGTTGCCAAACGCGCCGTGGTTAGGCGAGAGGGGAAGAATGACTTGGGTCGGCCGGGTGCGGTATCCCCGAAGCTGTTTCTGTTTCTTGATGGCTCCCAGCAAACGGAGGGTGTTGGTCAGCATGATTCGGTGAGCCAATTCAGATTTGGCATCAATGTTATCAATCTCGCGTCCAGCCTCGGAGATCGCCGCGAAGGGAACAACGTGGTCCAGATCCCAGCCCAGGCCAGTACCAGATGTGTAGATGTACTCCACAAGGCCATCAAGATCATGCTGGCTTCCTTGGTTAAATGGGGCGACGATCAGTTCGGATCCCCGCGAACCATGCTCAACATAGAGACGCTGATAAAACCGAGTCGTGGCGGACGAGTAGCTACTAGTGGTGACGACGACCTTAGCGCCACCACTCAGGAGGCCTTTCAGAATTTCGGCTCCGATCGATCCAATGCTCACTCCGGTCATGAGCACACACTTGTTGATGAACGTGATGCCGTCATTCCAGGATGATTGCACCTCGTCCAGGTACAGCGCCGTCACCGAGCGGTCGGTCAGCCAGGTCGAGTGTCGCTGGGTTTTGATATGAATCGACGCGATGACGGGGGATCCACCGCGAGGGACCTCGCGGTACTTGATATGACCGTTCTCGTCCACCGTAGTGCTAGGGCCCTTGATGAAGGCGTCGTAGTTCGCAGCCAACGGCTCAAATCGAGGCGCACGGGGCTTCTCACAGAGGTCCACCAGACGGCGCATCACGGTCTTGGCTTCTGGGAAGCGAGTACCCCAGAGAGAGCACGGGCTGTTCGACAGATACTTGATCATTTGCAGTAAGCGAGGACTGGATCGGTTGGCGATGGCGTTGCTGTATTTAGGGAAGTCGGCATTGCCAAAGTTCCCTCGCAGAATCCGGTGGAAGAGATGCAATGTATCTTGCAACACCCAGTTCCAGCTGGAGTTGTAGCGTCGAACCTTGGCAGCTGCCCATAACGGACGAATACCGGAGATAAAGACATCGCCCACCTCGGCGGTGATGAAGTCCAGCTGCTCCTGCAGCTTGACGGTCGCCAGTTGTGCCTTGAGGGCTTCTCGCGCATCGTGGCCCAGATCCTTTCCAAGCAGCCGTGCATAGAGTTCCATCTGTGCCTTCCGGAGCCGTTCTTGATCTTTCTTCACCAAGCCGAGAGCCTTGCTGTCCACTGGAGCCGAAACTGCTGCTGCCTCCGCGGCCGGCGCGGATGCAGACAGGTTGAGGCCATTGTCTGTGGCATACTGCTGCACTATTTGGTCAAAGAATGTCTGTGCTTCTCCCGAGCTTGCCAATCGGGAGGATGTCTGTGCTGTGCTTGCTCGCAAGAAAACCGAATCCTGACGTCCGGCCCCTAAACCCCATCGAGTCTGTAGATATTCACGAGCATCACCGCTGGAGAAACCAGCGGGAAGTTTCTGTGCAAAGACACGGGAGACGATCCCTGTGGATACCTTACCCAGCTGTCCTGAGAAGGCTGCGCCGGATTGTAGAGTATTGCATAGCTCTTCTAACCCTAGCTCTTCCGCCCTCTCGGGAAGGGATCCGAACTCGGCGTCGAGGTCACCCACGATCTCATTTTCCAACGTCGATCGGCCTATACTCGGGA